TGTATTAGCCTATTTGAGCCTCAGAACAACCATATGAGGTAGTGCTATAGTATTATTCCCATTTTACAGATGAGGAAACTGAGACTCATAGTGGTTTAGTCAATCAGCAGGCATTTATTAATTCCCTTCTTTGTTTTAGATACTGAGAATATTAAGAAAAAAAAATGAAATAGTCCCTGTCCTTTGGGAGAGAGAACAAGTATGTTTTTAACCATATACAAAATTAATGTGATTTTAGGGGGAAGACATTAGCAGCCATTGGGGTGGAGGGGGTGGTGAACTCAGGAAATACCTCATGTAGAAGATGGTTCCTGAGCTGAGCTTTAAAGGAAACCAGAGCTCTAAGAAATGGAGGTCAGGAAGAAATGTTTTCTAGGAGTGGTCAAGCAGTTTGCCCATGGTCCGACAAGACACAGATGGAGTTTGTGTCTATGGAAGATAGGTCTTCCATATAGTGTTGGGTCCTCTGGACCAGCACTAGTAGTAATCGCTTGTGTTTATTATATTACTTTAAGATCTACAAAGTACTTTCCTTGAAACAGCTCCAAGAGGTAGTAGTACAAAGTATGATTTGTCCCCATTTTGAGAGAATGAAACTGAACCTCAAAGAAGCTGTTTAATTGTCCATATTTGAATATGTTGTAAAGTGTTGAAGCCATAATTGGAATCTAGGCCTCTCCTATCTCCAGGCTCTGTGCATGGAGATACGTAAGGTCATTGAGATAAGTTAATTAAAATCTGCAATTCACAAACATACCTATGTGTCTATATATACACACATATGTGTATATACATATGTATGTTTATATACATACATATATTAATGCCTAAAATTGCAGTAAGACTTTTGGGACATAAACACATGCCCATACCTACCACAGAATGGACTTTAGAGATCATTTAGTTCAACTTCCTCATTTCACAGCTAAGAAAACTGAGACCCAGACATATTGTGACTTTCCCATGGTTCCTTAGCACAGGACATGCAACCTGGCTCCCAGTCTAGAGCATTTTTACATTATGCCCTACTGCTTTTCTGGCTTCAAGCCGGTCATATTTCTCATTTTGTCTGTGTCCCCAGCACAGAGTATAGTAGTTGGCACGTACTAGGCAAATATAAAAGCTTATTACTTACTTGGTTGCAAGTAGAACTGTGGCTTTACTAACACGTCTCACCCTAAAAATGTAACAACTACTGCAGGACCATAAAAGTTAGTTAATGTTTTTCTGTGAAACGTTCGAGGATACAAGAGGCCTTTCCTCCCTTCACCCTGGGCTCCTGACACGTATGAAAAGTGCGACTGTTGTAGCCCTGGTCAGACCAGGCTTTTAGGGAGATAGTTTTCTCAAGCCATGATTTGGGGAAAGGGAGAGAAGAATGGATGGAGCATACTGTTCTTAAGAAGGTCAAATAATCCTGCTAAGCTGCTAGTATCTTCTTATAAAGTAAGAGGCCCCAGATGGGCACCCAGAGAACAGAATGGCCCCTCGTCAATAATGCCAGTCTTTGTAACTTTGATTTGTTGAGAATCCCCTTCACCTCCTCCTTCCCCCAGGGCTGAGTCTGAATTCTCATGGGGCCTAAGTTACTGGAATATGAATTAATGAGATTCTGTAGTCTACTTTTGGGATGAAATCCTCTCAGACTCTGCCCTGTTCAGCATATCAGAGGTGTTTGTCCTTCCGGATGAAGGCGGTCTCTGTAGGCAGCCTTGTTGGCTACAGTTATCAGTCCAGGGCAAGTTTCTTTTGTGGATGATAGGAGTGGCTTAAAAAAAAATCAGCTTGAGTTAAATAGATAAACTGTAGAAAAAAATTAAAACTTAGTTCAGTGGTGTTTTTATTTCTGTATGAGTCTTGGCTATTTTGAGATATCTGTGATCTTGATTTCTTGTCCCATGTGCACTTCTACAGTCAACTTTCCAAATCTATATTTAGTCATTTCTCCATTGATCAGAGCAGCCTGTTGCTTAGATGATACAAAGCATTAGATAATTTGGAAATCATTAGTCTTTGGACTTACATCCACATCCACATATATAATGTATGTCTTCATAAAGACTCTCCAAAAGTTTAATCATTTACATTGTGTATAATTTTTGGGGGATCCAGACTTGCAATTTCATTGGCATAGGGAGCTTCCAGCATAGAAATTCCCTTCATCTTTGCAGACCCACAAATTGTCAGTAACTTATAATCCTAGAGAGTTGTCTAGAGCACTGAGAGGTTCAGGGACCTGTCAGTCGTTAACACACCTAGTATTAATCAGTCGGAAGCATTTATTAAGAAACCTACTATGCGCCAGGCACCATACTAGGTATTGGAGAGACAGATATAAAAGCAAGCTAGTCCCTGTCCCCAAAGAACTTCCATTCTTCTATAGAGGGATGCAGTCCACTCCTTAGGTTTTCTTATATAGTCATATAGCCTATGACTATAATTATCTCTATTGGGACACAGTATTCATTCCCTTCCCTGCAATGGTTATACCTGTTTGGCTAGACTCCAGCTTCTCAACCTCTCTGCCTTCAGATATAGGGCTCAAACCTAAATCCAGTGCAGCAAACCAGGACCAGGTACAACAGGATTAGCATTTCACATTCTGGAGGCTTAATGTTTAGTCACATAGCTTCAGCATCTCATGAATGTGGGACAGAAGTGAGGCTTGTCCAGGGCTAGCCCTCTCTCTGTTACACCTTGTTGCCTCTGCAGACCTAATGGAAACCACATATGATATTTATAGACTGATTGAATTTTCTTCTCACGGAAAACTTACAGGGACTTTAGTTCTGCTTATCATAGAGCAATGTCTCATCTGGTTTATAGAATATCTCTGAGAGTGAAAGTTACCTTTTTTAACCTTGCTCCTTTTTTTAATCATGTTTGTTCTTGATGCTTGGAGATAATGGGTCTTGGGACCTGCAAGCCAAGGGACTAAAAGGAAAAGTTCCCAAGAATTATATATCCCTGCAGTATGTGTACATGTAATGTGTATGTGTATTCTTGATACCTAGAGATTCTAGGTCTTTCTGTCTATCTAGTTATCTTCCAAAAAGCTTAAGTGCAATTGGAAGCTTTAATAGCTAAACTCTTCCCTAAGACTTTTAGGACACATTGTATATGTCAGTCATTCAATCAACAGGCATTTATTAAGTGCCTTCTCTGTGCCAGGCCCTGTATTAGGAACCAGTGATGCAAATGCAGAGAATTTTACTGAAGCTTATGTCCAAATGGAGGAGACAAGTACAAGTAAATAAATAGAAAGATATATAATATAAATCTAAAGCGAATAAATAGGAATATATAGTAGTTAAATACAAGGTGGTTTGGGAGGAGAGCCCTAGTAGTTGGAGGGATCAGGAAAGTTCATGTAAAGGGTGATTCTTGAACTGCCTGTTAAAGAGAGGTGAGCAAGTTGTGGTATATGAATGTAATGGAATACTATTGTTTTATAAGAAATGATGAGCAGGCAGATTTCAGAAAAACTTGGAAAGACTTATATGAACTGATGCTGAGTGAAGTGAGCAGAGCCAGAACATTGTACACAGTAATAGCAACATTGCGCGATGACCAACTTTGTAGACTTAGCTCTTCTCAGCAATACAGTGATCTAAGATAATTCCAAAAGACTTGTGATGGAAAATGCTATGTGCATCCAGAGAGAACTATGGAGTCTGAATGCTGCATATCAAAGCATACTATTTTCTTTCTTTTTTTGTTTCTTTCTAGTGGTTTTTTCCTTTTGTTCCGATTCTTCTTTCACAATGTGACTAATGTGGAAATATGTTTAATATAATTGTATGTGTATATAACGTATCAGATTGCATGCTGTCTTGGGGAAGCAGGAGAGGAGGGAGGGAGAAAAAAAAATAGAGGTATTCAGTGAGGTGGATTGAGGAGGGAGTGCACCTCAGGCATGTGGAAAGACCAAAGTCAAAGCACAGGGATGGGAGGTGGGATGTCTTGTCTTGTGTGAGGAACATAGAGTCCAGTTTGCTTGGATTCCACAGTGCCAGAGGAAGAGGAATGTCTACTGAGGCTGAAAGATTGGTTTGGGCCAGGGCGTGAAGGGCTTTAAATGCTAAACAGAAGTTTATATTTTATCCAAGAGGCAATAGAAAGCCACTAGAGTTGACTAAGTGGCAGAGTCACATGGTCAGAACTTCACTTAAGGAAAATGACTTTGGCAGCAGTGGTTAGGATGGGCTGGAGTAGGAAGAGACTTGAGGCAGGAAGACCAGTTGGGCTGTTGCAATAATCTAGGACAAGGGCAATGAGGGCCCCGAGCTCACGTGGCAGCTGTGTGAGTGGAGAGGAGATGCATTCAAGAGAAGTATCACATCTGTTCTGCCCATCCTGCCCCATGCTAGGGTAGCAGATTTGCCTTCTAATTATGTTTGATTTGTATTGGTAATTAATCTACATTCTCCTTATCAGATACCCACCTGTTATCGAATATGGCATCCTAGGAAACAGGAAGGTGTAGTTCTCCTATGGAAGCCAGACTGTGATGAAACATTTTCTGTAGTTAATCAAAAAGTGAACAATTAAGAGTTGGCCCTTTTGTCTTGTAAATAGAATGTGTCCTTTAGCTTCATGCTTTGTTAAAGATCTTTTGCTACTTTGTACTCAGTGTGGACCAGTCTCCTTATCACTTTCTTTTAAAAAATTATTTTAAAAGCTTAGATTCCAAAATTCAGAATTAAGCTCTGTGCTGGTGCTGGGGGGACCCTGTGTATTTGAATCCAGACAGTGCTTGTTAATGATGTGTTTTGGATTTTTTGTGAAACTTGTGTGCTCCCCTGAGTAAAGGTCTTTTGCCTTTTTTTTTTTTTTTTAAAGAAGTCATTGTAACTCAGGAGAGAGAATATCACTTTTGGTGCCAAATTGGATGTGTTAAAGTGATCGATTATCAGCAAAGGAGAAGGATAAGGTGTCAATTACTACTTTAATAGCCCCAGTATATGTGACTTAATTATTCTGTTTTTTTTTCCCAATAGAATCCCTGTCCAGAGTCTGGCGCTTCCTTCCTTTCCAGAATCACCTTCTGGTGGATTACTGGGTAAGGAGACTGAACCCTTACTCCTACCTGTATTTCAGAGCTGATTGACCCCACAGATTGGGCTACCTCCTCTGTTTGTATGGAGGTATTGTGGCCAATAGAAGCTATGTGTTCATGAATCGTTCGGTACCTCATTCACTTTGCCCATCTGTAAAAAGGGGAATGGTGATACCTCCATGCCACAAACCTACAAATACACTTCTTTCTCAAGTAGAGAGTTATAAAAATGAAAAATACTTTGAATCATTTGACAGGGAAGGACTGGGCCACTTGACGTTATTTTTCTCTGCATTAGTACTGTCAAACTCAAATAAAAACAAGGGCCATTAAAGGATCCCTTTGGGCTATATATTGACTTAGTTTTAAAATGTAATATTCCCTGTGTTTTCCTGTATTTTTATTTATTTTGTTAAATATTTCCCAGTTACACTTTTTAAGTTTTATTTTTATTTTTGGTTCCAAATTTTCTCCCTCCCCCATCCATTGATAAGGCAAGACATATGAAACTCAGTGTATATTATGAAGTCATACAAAACATGTTTCCATATTAGACATGCCCAGTTTCATTTTATTCTAGTTTAGGCCACACTCAGGAGTGTTGTGGGCTTCATGTGGCTCATGGGCCACATATTTTATATCTCTGTTCTACATGATAATTTTTCAAGATTTATCTTGGTTTGGTTTTTTTTTTTTGGTAAGTCATTAGAATGATCCAGAATGGGAGCTCTTTCTTCATTAGCAGTCTGTCTTCTGCTACTGACGTGCAGATCTACTTGTCCTCTCACATAATCCCTCTGTGCTTCAAATGTAGGTTGATGGTCCAGGGATATAAATGTCCTCTGGAGTTGACAGATTTGTGGTCGCTGAACCCAGAAGACACCTCTGAACAAGTGGTGCCTGTTCTGGTGAAAAACTGGAAGAAAGAGTGTGCCCAGTCAGTAAAGTAAGTGTGAGCGCCACGGAGGGGCTGATGGTCTAGGCTTCTGATGAATGAGTCCAGAGTAGTCTTTCCCAGAAAGGTCAGTGATACACAACTATGGTGACCTTACCACTTTTTAATCATGGTGTCAACGAGGCTAGAGTTTTACTCGGGTTAGGCTATTAGTATAAGGCAAGTGGTTCTCCAATTTTTGAGGACCCCAAAGAGCTTTTATGTCAACCATAGCTATTGGTATTTACTGTACTAGAAATTAAAACTGATGATTTTATTTTATTTATTTTGATTTATCGACAATCACTTCCATAAGCTTTTGAGTATTAAATTTTTCTCCCCCTTCGTCCCCAAGATGGCATGCAATCTGATATAGGCTATACATATACATTCTTATTAAACATATTTTCATGTTAGTGATGTAAGGAAGAATTAGAACCAATAGGAGGAACCACAGGAAAGAGGACACAAAACAAAACAGAAGAAAAAAAATAGCAAATAGTATGCTTTGATTTGCATTCAAACTCCATAGTTCTTTCTTTGGATGTGGATAGCATTTTCCATTATGAGACCCTTGGAGATGTCTTAGATCCTTGCATTGCTGAGAACGGATCAATGTGTTAAAAATAATAAATCTCATTTCATGTTAACACAAAATAACATTTTTTTATGAAAAAATTTCTAACACAAAAATTAGAGTGATATTGTTTTACATATTTTTTGCAAGTCTTTCTACTGTCTGGCGTAATAAAAAGCAGCTGCATTCTCATACTTGCTTCTGCATTCAATCTGTTGTGATACATTATTTTGGTTAAAGTATATGAAGAAAATCTGGCCTTACACAAATATCTAGTTGGAAAAGAAAGCAGTATTTTAATTGACAGTATTTAATAGGCAATGGACAGCATTTTAATAGACGTCTTAGTGTTATTATGAAAATAGTTTTGACGACATGCATCCCCTGAATGGGTCTCAGATACCCCCAGGGGTCTGAGTACCACACTTTGAGAACCACTGGTGGTGGTGCATTAATTAAGCTAAGATTGTGAATTCCATCTCCATATAGATACATATGTATATGGGGGGATAAGCTCTGCTTCTCAGCCATGTATTACAACTCGAACCCTTGGCAGGGTAACTCATACTTCCAGTTGTAAGGGGGACCAGGCAAAAAGGTATCAATGGATTCATGCAGCTCTCACTGATGCTACTGGGAAAACAACCAGAAATACAGGACCAGCTGCTGCTATATCAGTAGCATGCTCTTTAAATAAGCAGAGGAAATCCTATTTAGAAGACATGCTTTTAGCTGTTGTTGATTGTTGGGAGAGTAAGCTGTGGGGTTTCTGTGCCTTCTTTGCTTGGTATGAGTGTCCAGTTATTGTGCTGGGGAAAGTGTATATATGGTTGTATGATTGGTGTGTTTATAGATACCTGATCATGTTCTTGGCTTTGAGAGGGGGAAATATGGGGTATAGCTGTTGAAACCAGAGTTTGCCTAGTCTTGGGTTGTATCTCCTAAGGGAGGACTTAGTTTCCTGACTTGTTTGTGCTCTGTCCTTGTCCTGGGGTTTAGGTAGCCATAAGAAGCTAGCCACAGGGGTGGTGGTAGGGTAAATTTTCTGGCCAAGATTCTATCACTGTGGGAAATTGGCTCTTATCCTTCTTTATCCCCACATGACTATATTAGACCTAGAAAGAGCCAAGTTCCCAGGATCTACATCAAGAAATCAAGAATTCTTCAGTTTGATTGTCCTCTGGTCCTTTTTTAACTAAGGGACTCAGGGCCAGTTATTACCTTGGCATATTATAGCTGCTTTTTGTATGGTGCTATCATTCCTGTCTTGTAGAGTGGAACAGAGCATGTGACTTTGTTTTTCCTTTTTATGTTGCCATTGGGGATCAGGAATAAGGGTCACCAAAGTACTTGAAAATGAGAGGTGGTCCTCAGAACAGCTAAATACTATTTATTTGTTCATAGCAAAATTAAGGTTGTATATAACAAGCAAGCTCAGATACCTACTCTCCTCAGTTTAGTGAGTTTTAGGAAATAATAACCCACTGTGTAAGCCATCATCTTTACCCCTACTTGACTTGTTACCTTATTTTTTATAAATTCTATTAAGGAGGTTTATTAAATACAGTGAAATTTTTAAAAAATTATGTCCTATTTGAATGACACAAATAAAAATTAGAACAAAAACTGGTGGGAATCAAGTCATATCTGGTAATTGTAATATTTTAAAAATAAGTTTATTGATATCTTTTGTTTTTTACGTCATCATAGTTTTCCCCAATATCCCTTCCTCTCCGCTTCCCAGAGAGCCATCCCATATAAATTTTGAAAGAGAGAGAGAGAGAGAAAATCAGTACAACTAACCAGTACATTAAAAAGTCTAAAAACATAGGCAATGTGCAGCACCTTTGCACCTCTCACTCCCTTGGAGGGGTGGGTTGGCAGTGTCTTATATCAATTATTTCAAGTCATGCTTGATCTTTATAATTTTTCTGCATTCTTACCTTATTAATTCTCATCATGGTTTCCAAGGCAATCAAGAGATATATTGTGCTATTTCCTCACAAATTACCAAACTTGGAGGGTCTCATTAATCAGTTAGCTCTGAGTCTTCACTCTAATTTATTAAATATTCCTTATTCAGTTAACCGGAGAAACCTCTATTCCCATATACTCTTGTTCATTTCTAAATAAGCCCTACTTTCCTCCCCCCAGTCTCCTAAGCTTAAATAAACCTCAAGGTTACTGGCTTTACAATTTAACAACTGAGCAATGACCAGTGAAAAAAAGACAAATGATTATTCACAGTGAGAATTGTGAATTGTGAGAAAAGTCACACAACCAGTTAACCTTTAATGATTAACTCTAGAAATGCCCACTATTCAGCTCTTACAGATGTAAGTTTAAATCTTTTCTCAAGATTTCTCTTCGTAAGGTTTTTTTTCCCCCACAAAAGGAGAGCTAAATTCAGATTTCTCATGAAACATTTCTTCAGATTCTTTCTCCTTAACAGATAAGTCATCCAGTTTCTCAGGAAAGAAGTTTTCTGTCTAGCCGTGACAACTGAAATATATTCCAGAATAATAGTTAAATTGTTAACTTCCCAAGATTGCATTGCATCTTAGAAGGCTATTGAAGCCAGTCTTGTACTCGTTTGTAGGACTGGGTCCTGCCTTACCCGGTGGTTTTCTCATGTTCTCTGGGCCTGCACAACCTTATCTACTTTCTATCCTTGTACATTCTGCTTTGCTCTGGCCCAAAACCCAGTTACCTGGCATAAGTCTCTTCTAACCGCCCTAATATCTCCTCTTCCTCTGTATGAGATCTTTTCTAATTTTTTTCTTGATGTAGATTCTCATTTATCTGGAATATTCTTCTCCTTGACTCAGTCTTAACAGATTCCTTTCACACACAACCCCTTCCCCTTATTTCTTTTACTGTATACTATTCTTCTGTCTTCTCTTCCCTGGGTCTTTTCTCTTTCTTCTGGTATCCAGTCTTCCTACTTTTGTATTCTCCCATGTCCCATAAGTGAAAAAGACCGAGAATAGATGATGTTTCTTGGTGGTAGTGACTGGGCAAATGAGTGTTGTAAAATTGGATAACTGGAAAAAAAAATTGAGGGACCATTCCTTTCCTCCACATAGTGCCCTTCTTCCTCTTCTCAAACAGAAAAAAACAAACACTAAAAAACTTAAATATTCAACTAGATTGATAGATATAGCATGTGTATAGATACATATGCATATTGTGTATATATAGTGTATGTATGCATTTATCCAAAATATATACATACACGTGTATGTTTGTATGTGTGTGGGTGTTTGTATATCTGTGCACACACACACATACATACATACATACATACGTACATACATTTATACACTTTGGCTGAACAGATATAATGAAAGAGTAAAATAACCACATATGATAGTGTAATAGCTTATTAAAACAAGCAGTACAGACAAAAATAGGTTAGAGAAGGAAGAAATCTAAGCAGATAGCTTGATGAGGTAGGCTTCATGGAGGAGGTGACATTTTTAGGGCCCTGAAGGATATGTGGGGTTTGGCTAGATGGAGAGGGTAGGGGAAAGGAATTCTAGGTAACACGTGCTAAAAGGAAAGGTAGGGAGTTGAGGAAGAGCGTGCTATATTTGTGTTCACTGAGTAGTAAGAGATGAGTCTGGATAGAGGGGCTACAGTTGTATTGTGTAAAATAGATTGAATGTAAAATAGGGGTCAAACTCACAGCTGTACAACTCAGATTAAATTGTAATTGGGAAATGTTTAACAAAATATGTAAAAATATAGTACCATATAGCTAATGTTAGGGCAGGTAGATGGCTTAGTGGATAGAGCACTGGGCTTGGAATCAGGAGGACTCATCTTCATGAGTTCAAATCTGGCCTCAGACACTAACTAGCTGTGTGGTCCTGGGCAGGTCACTTAACCCTATATGCCTCAGTTCCTCATCTGTAATGGTATCTTTGCCAAGAAAGCCCCAAAGAGGGTCATGAAGAGTCGGACACGACTGAAACAACTCAGTGGCAATAGATAATGTTAATTTGTGATTTTCAAAGTGAGCATGCCTCACAGAGATCAATGTCTGTCAAGAGTTTGATATTATTGATATAAAACAATGAATATTAGATATGCTATGTGGGATTTTATCTTGTAGACATATGGGAGCCATTGAAGCTTTTTGTGTAGGGTAGTGATAGGGAAAAATTAGATATTTTTGGATGATTATCTACAAGATAGATTGGAAAGAGTCAAAGAACTATAAGTCAGGACCTCAAAAGCTATTGCAGTAATCCGGATATGGGGGACTAGCTGTGAGGGCCTAATGGGCACGTTTCTTTGCTAGGGTACATTGTGGTAACTAGGACATGTTACTTAACTACATTACTTTCCTTCTGTCTTTTAGGCAGCCTGTAAAGATCGTGTATTCCTCCAAGGATCCAGCAAATTCAAAAAGAGGCTCCAAAGGAGACTTGAATGAGGAGGTTGAAGCCCTAATTGTGAAGCCCACTCAGAGGGAGAAGGAGCCCTCTTTGTTTAAGGTGTTATATAAAACCTTTGGGCCTTACTTCCTCATGAGCTTCCTTTTTAAAGCACTCCATGACCTGATGATGTTTGCAGGCCCTGAGATCTTAAAGTAAGACCCCTTCCCTTTTGAGTCCCCCCCCCCGCTTATTTTCATTGTTCAGCCCTTTCCCTTGGCTATCATCAGTCAAGCTCCTTATGGGGAGCATTAATTGGAGTAGTGATACTGAATAACTCATGAAAATAACACTATAATACAAGATCATATTTTATTTTTAAAAACTGCAATGAGTCTAGCATACATTTATATCAGTATAGCCCTTATTGGCCACATATGTTATGTTGTTGAGAAGGAAGTCTCCTATGTATATTAGCGTTCAGAAGCATTATGAAACCCTTAGACAAGCTGTATTTCTCATTGTTTTCGTCCTTCCTGGGTCTCAGATTTGGCATCAATCACTAAACATTTATTAAACGCTCACTATGTACCAGGCGCCATTCTAAGTGCTGGACGTGGAGGTAGAATGGTAGAAAGAACACTGAATTTTAGAGTCAGACGACCTGCTCTTGGCTCTTCTAATTTGCCATATTACTTGGCAAGTTACTTGACCCTTCTGAGCCTCAATTTTCTCATCTGTAAAGTGAGGCAGTTCAGCTAGAGAATCTCTTAAGATCCCTCCCCGGCTCCAGACTCTTAGATTCCTTTCTTTGTAACTCTGTGGTTCTTACAAAGTCCGGTGTTCCTATAGTCTTGAAGGTTAGAATCTGGGCTAACTGGAGAGGCTGTGAGGCAGAGCTTTTCTGTGTTGTTCCTCTGAATTTACCGAAGACTTTGACACTCAGGGCTATGTTACTTCCACCACTCTGTACCTCACCTTTCCCCCAAGTTTTATTTAATTTTATTTTCAGGCTTTAAAGAGGTTAGGCATATGTGTAAGTTGGTTGTTGGCACTTTCTGCATTTTCTATGGAGGATGTGAGTTTTGTTGCCTCTTCAGCCCGAGTTAATGAGTCTTCCTTGTTCCTTTACAGATTGCTCATCAATTTTGTGAATGACAAGCAGGCCCCCGATTGGCAGGGATACCTGTATACAGCACTTCTCTTTGTGAGCGCCTGCCTACAAACCCTGGTTTTGCACCAGTACTTCCATATCTGCTTTGTGAGTGGAATGAGAATCAAAACTGCTGTCATTGGGGCCATCTATCGCAAGGTAACAAGTTAAAAATTCCATGGCACAGATGAGCAAGTTATCTCTGGGATCTTTAATTTCTCATCCCCTTGACCCTTAGGTGCAGAATCTACAGTGATGCTTCAGCGAGCTCTTGTACAAGGACCTTTTTTTTGCTCATATTTTTAATATATTTTTATTAATATTTTTTGTTTTTACATCACATAGGTTGTCTCCTTTATCCCTTCCCCCTCTCTCCTTTCCAGAGAGCCATCCCATATAACAATTTTTTTTAATAAAAAAAAAAAGAGGCAGAAAAAAATTAGGAGAGTTGAGGAAAGACATAATATATCCCAATACGTTGTAGCTAGAGTTGTGAATTGTTATAGGTATTCTGGAAAGCAGTTTGGAATTAAGCAAATAAAGGGACTAAAATGTCCATAGAGTTTCCTCTGCTAGGTATATACCCCAAGATGGTCATTGAGGAAAAGAAAGGCACACCAAAATATTTATAGCAGCACTTTTTGTGGTAGAAAAAGAATTGGAAACACAGTAAATGCCCATTCCCTGGGGGATACTTAAACACATTGTGGCATATTCGTGTAATGGAATCTCACTGTGCCGTAAGAAAAAATTACTGTGATGAATATAAAGAAACAATATAGACAGTGGCTGAAACAATATAGACAGTGACTATAACAATGTAATGGGAAGAACAACTCCCCCAAAATAATTGAAACTGAATATTGTGAAATCATAAAGAACAAGCTTATTCCCAACGAAGAGATAGGAGAGGATACTCTGCCCCTTTGCAGAGATTGAAGTCTGCAGGTATAGAATATTGCATAAAATGTTAGACTTTCTTGATGTCATTTCAAAAAAATTTATTGATGTTTTGCTACTATATGACTTTCATTTCAGATATATTCCTCCCTCTCCTATATCTAGAAAGACATTCTTTGTAACAAAGAATAAAAAGAGAAAAAAAAAGCAGTTCAGACAAACTACCCAACAAATTAGCCAAGTACAGCAGTTTATACAATATTGTACACACCAGTGCCCTGACTCTGCAAAGTAAGAAGGGAGGTGCCTCTTGTAATCTCTCTTTAAGGCCGATCTTAATTATTGCAACTGTGCAATGTTCAGTCTGGGGTTTTCTGTACTGCCATTTACATTGTGGTAGTGTAATCGTTGTGTATAATTCTTTTGCCAATTCTGCTTATTTTTTACATTGTACCACTTTGTACGTCTCCCTATGCTTCTGTGTATTCTTCATATTCGTCCTTTATTATGTTCAGCAATATTCCATTAGCATTCATGGGCCACACTTTGTTTAGCCATCATCCAGTTGAAGGGCAGCATCTATTTTGTTCAAGGGACAGATTTTAAATTCAGTTTCTGGAACTATTAAGATGAAGATGGATTAATGTCAAGTTTGTGGGATGGGGAAGAGTGCCATTAGGTACCTGGCCATACTAGGGAGGGTGATTTCCTAGGTTAGCATGTAGAATGTATGAGCCATTAATATACAGTCTTTATTAATAGACAGTAGTGTTTGTTGAAAGGCGTGGTAAAAAGATTTGTGGAGGTTTGAGATTAGTAATAGTTTTACTATTACTTTACTGCACATGATGTTAGGTCATTTAAGTTTGGAGCATCGAGTGTCATTAAGCAGGTTATATGTTCTTTGAGTTATATAGTAACTGATGTGTTTTGGGTGCTCTTTTATGTATCCTCTTGATTCCATCTTTTTCCACTTTAGTGAAACTTGGATAAAACTACCTGTTTCTGAATGTTGTAGAGGGGTTTCTTACATTGGGAGATGCGGGGAGTGATGGGACGGAGTCTGAACTCAAAGACTTCTAGGGTCCTTTCCATTGTAAAGACTCTGTGAGCTGCCTTCTGGGATGCTAGGGAGATTGGAAGCTGTACAAACCCTGCATGGGAGAAGAAATGGGCACTCTATAAATTCAGGTAATCGTTTGGTAAAATGCCCTGAATTGCCTTTTTTTTTTTTTTTTTGCCAAATGGATCCATCCTTAGAGAAGCCACCACTTCTGCAAACTGGACAAGATGTGGCCTTGATCTGGTACGCTCAGTCATCCTACCTTCTGCTTTTTCTCTTAGGCCCTGGTGATTACAAATTCCGCCCGAAAGTCTTCCACAGTTGGGGAAATAGTGAACCTCATGTCTGTAGATGCCCAGAGATTCATGGACTTGGCCACTTATATTAACATGATCTGGTCAGCCCCCCTGCAGGTTATCCTGGCTCTCTACCTGCTATGGCTGGTATGTACTTGCTGTCTTTCCTTTATTGTTCAGCTCTTATGATTGTGTTCAATAAAAGCAGTAACTTGAGCTTGGGGGCATTGTGAGATTTTTTTGTCCTCTCTCTCAAACATCAGAATGGTGAAACAGTATGTGTGTCTATCCTTTTTTATTTGGTCAAGTGTGATAGCTGGCATTTGTACTGCAAAGGTCTAAATGTACATGATCTCCTTTGAGCCTTGGTCATCATTCCAGTTTTACAGACAAGGAAACAAACTCCGAAAGGTAAAGTGACTTGCCTCACATAGCTGGTGATTGTCAGGGGTGTGGCATCTGAATTCAGGCCTTCTTGACCTCAACTCTAGTGCTCTATCCACTATGCAACACTCCCTCTTAAAGAGCATGGTGAGTGTCTAAGTAGGAAAGATTCCCCAGTTTTTTGGTAGTCAATACTTTAAGAAAAGTTTTTAAAAAATGTATTGACCTCTTTTTTATATTACCTACAATTTTCCCTGTGCCTTTTTTCCATTTCTTATAAGAAAGAATAAAACAGAAAAAAGAAGAAAAAAATCAGTCCAGCTATATTACATTAATCAATATGACAACTAAATCCAACATTGTATGTAATGGTCCCCAAACATAGTTTTCTACCTCTGCAAAGAAAGTAGGGAGCTGCATTCTGTCTCTTCTTTGGGACCAAGGCTGATCGTTATTTCGTAACATTCAGTTTCCATTGTTTTGCTATTGTTTCTCTTTCAGTTAGTGTTGTTGTGGTCATGTATATATTGTTTTCCGGGTTTTTCCACACATTGTTACTAGGTCAGTTTTTTTTTCAATTAAATTAATTTGTTTTTAAATTTCATTTTTATTATGGACTTGAACATTAATAGCATGAACATTTCATTGTCTAATGAAAAGCAGAAAGGGGATTTTATATGAAGCTGCTTTTGTTTTGTCCAACTTAATTTTTTCTCTGCTGTGTATGACTTGGGGTGGGTTTTTTTTTGGCGGGGGGAGTATGATTCCAATTTAATATGGTAATTCTAATACTGCCTTGTTTTTTTGTGTCTGCCTCTGAACTTCTGCTTTTTTTCTGTTTAATTTTTTCTAATGATTCATTAATACCTTTTCCTTCCTTTTTTTTAAGTATCACTATCACTATCCTTCTACATCCCCCCCTCCCCCCCAAAAAAGACAAGCCCTTTCTTGTAACAATTAAGTATAATCAATAGTCAGGTTGCTAATCTTTTTCTTTGCTTTTCTTTGAACTTTTTTGGAGAAAGGTGAGTTCTTGTGCCAATTTGCCAGTTTCTGTTGTTTTATTCCTCCTCCTGACAATCTGATGTTTACCCTGTCTTGGGGCATGTTCTTTTACTAAGTTTATGTTAATGTATCTTGTATAAGCATTCTGACCCTTAATGTATCCATAGAAAGGGAAAGATGACAAGAGATGAGGTGTGGCCACAAAAGATGGAGACAGAAATTAAATGTTTAGCAAACAAATCAGACCTTAGACATCCAAGTGAGTGTAGTAAGTCACACTGTTGACTCGTTCCAATGTTGCTGCCATTGTCCAAACCTCTTTTGATCGTCCCAAGAGCTATATGATGAAAACAGACTTTTTACTTTGATAGTCCCTGCTTGTACTTGGACTGGCATCTCTATTATTTGGACTACATTAATAATTTGACTTGATCCCAGCCCTTCCTACCATCACCTCGTTTATGCCCCTGAGCACTGAATGATTTATTGATTTATTTTTGCTGTTTCCCAATATCAGTTTGCCCTCAAAGAATCAATACTTGTCTTCAAAGACATCCAAAAGAAGGACATATGTTAGTATTTAAAGGAAGTGCCTAGAAGGGTTACCAAGCATATTTGAGTAATGGCACCTTTGCCTGAGGTCTGAATTTTGTAGCAGATGATACACTTGGAGGTGTTAATTCTTGTATGTTCCTGTTGAGCTATTTTAGGTGTTTGGATCTTGTTGATCAATTGCCATTTCAAAGAGCTACCCTCATGTAGGTAGGATTCTTTCAGGGCAATTGTTTCTTCTTAATTCCCCTTTCATTTTTTTTCCCTCCTTAGAATTTAGGCCCTTCTGTGTTAGCTGGAGTGGCTGTCATGATCCTTATGGTTCCCATCAATGCTGTAATGGCCATGAAGACCAAAACCTATCAGGTAAGGTCTCTGTTGATGAGAGCCCCAGACTGGGCTTAGTAATGTTCTCCTTCTCTGCCAACTTTACTCGGATAAAACTTCTACAATTGAATTAGAACAAGAGCTTGAAAGAGTACAGAATAGATTCCAGGTTACTTATGGAATTTAGAATGTGAGGACTTGGCTCTGTGCTTTTTGGAGAGCATGATCTTGGAATCCTGCAGATGAGTTCCAGGGCCCAGCCATGATGGAACAGAACATCATGCTCTTCAGAGACTGCCTTCTCCCATTACGGGGTGGGTCTTGGAACTGCCTTGGTTCTCACCCTGTCCTTAATGAGCAGGTTTCCTTAAATTTGTCCTTTGCTTAAATAGTTCTCATCCCAAAGGGGAAACCCTCCCTGTCCCCCACCTCCAGCAGAAATCTAAATGGACTGTTCCTGGCTTTGCCTTTTTTTGTTTGTAATTCACATTTTTCCCTCTTGGCTTCTGGAGAGACAAATAAGTAGCCTGCCAATGAAGGAGAAGGCCTGTCTGTGATAAGTGGGATGTCAATAAAGAGAGAAGATGCTCTTTGGCTGGGCTGTGTGATGCTTTCAAAGTCTCACAGCTTAGGTTCAAAGCACCAGTCTTGTCCATCATTCAAGCTTGTTGCCAGTAGCCCCGTTGCAAAGAAAAGTGATGTCCATGGAGTTAAATCTGTTTTTAAAGATCAGTAAAAGTACAAAACTGTGTGAGATGAAGGGCTTGTGGGAGGCTTTGGGTTCTTTTTCTAGGTGTCTGCAGTATAGGGTTTTCCCTTTGTCAGACTTTCATAAATAAATCTTAATGTTAGTTTGAATCCCTTAAAAAAACAACAAATCAACTCTCAAATATAAGTTAAAGATTATCTGTATTCTGGAGATGTTATTGTCTTCCTTCAGTGGGCCTTGGAAGGAAAAAAAATGAAATTCCAATTGTGATGACCTCTCACTCTCACCCCCCTTCCCTTTCTATGGTCAACATCCTTGTTCTCCTAATTAGTCCCAATGATTATGAGGAGAGAGGAAAAGAGAAAAATAGAGAGGAAGAACAATGAAGAAAATAGAGCAGGGGTAGGGAACCTTTGGTGAATCCTTTTATTAAAGGGATTTGTTCTGTGAAGTTTGGATTCAGTCAGAGGGCTGAACTTGATGACCTAGAGGGTCACATGTGGCCTTGAGGCCGCAGGTTCCTCTCCCTTGAAATAGAGAAATGGAGGAAAAGAAGGGAGAAGTGGGGAAATTAAGAGATGTGAATGGTGGTGCCATTAGTAGCCTCAGGTGCCTCACAGTTGCTTCTCCTTTGTCAGATCTAACACAAGCTTTCTTCTTTCTTTTTTTTGTCCAATCTGTATTTGGTGACAAAAGTCCTTTGAGTAAACTTTTCAGATCACTGCATTCTGGGCAGTGAAAAAATTAGCAGGATGACATACAAATCAGAACCCTACTTCCCTAGTAACTCAAGAAGTCCTCTGTTGACCTTGTTCCTTTTGTCTGAGTTTGGTAGCTGCATTGAAGTTGACTGTGCAGCAAATTTTAAATGATTTAGGTGGTTTATGAGATCAGGCATTTTCTTGGGGCAAAAAAATGGAATCATTTAATAGCTATTCTTGGGAGAAATGACATTTTCATTAGGAGTAATTGGTGCAATTTTCCACCTTAATGAAGGTCCTTTTAAAAAAAGTGACAGGATCACTTGAGTAGTTAACTAGTGCAGTGTACTTCTGAATGCCTACATTGAAGTCCCTATTTAGTTTTTAATTGGCTTTCTCTTAAAGGTGGCCCACATGAAGAGCAAAGACAATCGGATTAAATTGATGAATGAAATTCTCAATGGGATCAAAGTCCTGAAGCTGTATGCCTGGGAGTTGGCCTTCAAGGAGAAAGTATTGGAGATCAGACAGGAGGAGCTAAAGGTGCTTAAGAAATCTGCTTACTTGGCAGCTGTGGGGACCTTCACCTGGGTCTGCACACCCTTCCTGGTAAGTGAGGTCAACAGGAAAATTGTCCTTAGTTCATTTAAGGGTTAGAACCCCCTTTCAGTGATTCAGATCTTCCTGGTAAGATGTAGTGATCAGTGAAAGGAAGTTCTTAATAAGGCCAGCTTGAAATTGACAGGAGGTGATATCAAAAAGAATATGTATATAAAAACATATTTAAGCAGAGCTTGATAACTATTGAAGATTATTTATCAAAACACCATATTGTTCCTAGGTTTCTGTATTTTTTAAAAATCTTTCTCTATACTATCCCATTTGTAGCTCCAGAGTATCATGGAAGTCATTTAGTCTAACCGCATTATTTTATAGATGAGAAAGCTGTGGTCTAGAGAAGTTGAATGGGATGTATGACCTAGATGCCTGATACTTTTACTACTTATTTTATAAGGTTTTGAGGAAAGCACTTTACAAATCTTAAAGAACAATACAATTAAGTTACTATTAGTCAGTTGGTCATATTGTGACCAAAATAATCTTTATGCATAGCTCTTATCATGTACTTCTGTTCAAACATGTCTAAGTGTTCTCTATTACCTCTGTAAAAGTCAAACTTTTTTGTTGGACTTTCAAGGCATTCTGAACTCTAGCATCATCCTGCATAAAGAGTCTTATGATGCTCCAGCACAAAAGAATTACTCTTTGGTAGCTCTGCTTTTCTGACCCTGTTCCTTTGCTCATACTGTCTTCTGTGCCTGAGATGTCCTTCCTTCCCATATTGACCTTTTACGTTCTTCCATGTGGAATGTCCTTTAAAGAATATCCTTTAAAGCCCAACTCAAATGCCACCTTCCCATGAAATTTTTCCTAATTTTCCTCTATTGGTAAGGACCTTCCTTCTCAACTCTTAGGTAATGATAGAGGTTGTGCTGGTGCATGGAAAGATCATTGGCCCTAGAGATTTAGAACCTGAGTTAAACAGAGTCCCAGCTCTGCTACTTTAATCTCTGTATGACCTTGGACAAGGCATTTACACTTTCTGAGATTCAGATTCCTCGTCTGTAAAATATAGAGGTTGGGCTAGATAACCCTCAGTGTCCTTTTCCAGTCTGAATCTCTGATCTTATGTTTATCTTGCAACACTCTAATATATTTACCATATACTGATGTATAGTCATGTATATGACTAATCCCCTTAACAGCTCTGTGATAGCAAATGTGGTGTCTTATCTGAACTTTCGCACCTCTTACTGTGCCTTGTACAATGTTCTGTACACAGTAGGTACTTAACAAGTGCTTGGTGATTGAATAAATAAATGAATAAACCAAACTGTGTAGTAGAGCATGGTATTAAAAGTCAGAATAGAGCACCAGGCCCTGGAGTCAGGAGGACCTAAGTTCAAATCCAGCCTCAGACACTTGACACTTAACTAGCTGTGTGACATTGGGCAAGTCACTTAATCCCATTGCCTAGGTTAAAAAAACAAAACAAAAAAAAAAAGTAGGAGAACTGTGTTCTAATTCTAACTTTGCAAATCAGTGATAGTGTGGCCTTGGTAAATTATTTCATCTCTCTTCAATAGCAATAATAACAATAATAATAGCTAGCATTTATATATCTCTTTAAGGTTTGCATAGCACTTTACAAAATTATCTCATTTGCTCCTTATTTGAGTTTCCTTATCTTCTAAATAGTGGTGGAGACTGGGAGTGTGATGGTGGTGGAGTAAATGATCTCAGTACTTTTCTAACGTAGAATTGTCCAGAGGACCTAGTTTCAAATGCCAGATCTTCTATTTCCCCTAAATCATTCTGTTGCAGTACTGAGTGGTAACGTCCTTTTTATTTGCATTACCCCTCTGTCTGTCCCACCAGCATTTAGAGAATGCCTGGCCTATAATAAGTGCTTAATAAATGCTTGTTGACTGAAGAGGATGATGCAAGAAAAAACGTGCCTCATGATTTTTTTACTTAGGACAGGGAGAGGAAGTTCTCCCAGAAATCCCTGTTTTGCATTTTGCTTCATTCAGTGAAACCAATCATTATGGGTGTGTCAGCCCAACTTTTCAGTCTTAGTCATCTTTTCCTACCATGCCTTCTGGTTGCGAAAACAAGTAGAGAGGCTTATGAGGGAGTTGAAAGAAAGATAATGCATTCCTTCTTAACTTTTAAATTTGTAGTTTAATTTTTTTTTGGATGAGTGGAGTTAAAGTGCTGGTTGTATGATTGTGCTTAGAAGATACAATCCATTCCAAATAGACCTTTTGCATAAAACAGCCTGGAATCAGGGGCAGGGCTGAAAAAGCAGTAAATCTTGACCACTGACTTAAAAGCCTGAGGTCTCTGACTACATTAGGATAAAATATGTTCTGTTCTGTTTGAAGACACCTTAATGTTCTTTTCACTGGAAGATTCTTTCCCTTCAATGCCAATGAAATGTTTATATAGATGAAGGTGTGATGAAAGACAGGAGACTGGGATGTAGGTGCTGGCAATGGGAATATCACCAGCCCATTTTTTTTGTATGCTATTTTTTTCCCACTGAAAGTGTAGCCTGCTATGTTTAAAGTCGGTCTACAGTAATGTAAATGGAAAGAACAGAAAAGTCTCACTTGAATGATTTGTAATTATAATGACCAAGCTTGGCCCCAAAGAAAAGATGAGAAACTATATTTCTCCAGTTCATCCTCAAGCTTTCAGAATGATCTTCCAAAAGTCCAGGTGTGGTCATGTCATCCCTCTTATTCAGCGAACTCCAGTGGTTCCCTGTTACCCCTAGCATCAGATACAAAAACTCTGTTTAGCTTTTAAAGCTCTTTATAACCTGTTCTCTTCCTATATTTCCAGTCTTCTTATACCTTGTTCTCTGCCATCCAGTGACACTGGTTTCCTCACAGTTTCTTACATTTGAAACCTCATTCCTTGAGTCTGAGCATTTTCACTGCTTGGCCCCTGTGCCTGGAACACTTTTCCTTCTCATCTCTACCTCCAGGCTTCCTTCAAGTCTCAGCTAAAGTCTTCAAGAAGCCTTTCCCAGTCTTCCTTAATCTTAGAGCCTTTCTTCGGAGATAATGTCTTTTATCCTGTCAATATCTTGTTTGTATGGATTTGTTTGCTCTTCTGAGAGACTGAGCTTCTTGAGAGCCAGTACTATTTTTGCCTTTCTTTGTATCAGAAATGCTTTAACATAGTGCCTGGCACATAGTAGGTACTTAATTAATGCTTATTCACTGACATTTCCTTCCCTTTATAGAGATAGAAAAGTCTGTTGTCAGACTCAATTGATGTATTGGTTAGTTTTGCTGAACTGCTTCCCCCCCCCTTTTAAAAAATTCTGAGATATAAGGATATATTTATAAAATAAAAGATCAATAAAAATGTTTAAATTCTGTTGCCTTTAATGAAAACAGCTTAGCTAGACTTTTTTAAAAAAAAATATCGATATCTTCACTTTTCATATCACCTTCATTTATAAATATAGCCCTCTTCATCCCCCTACAATGGATGGCTCAGGGCAAACCTATCATCTGTATTGGACAAACAGCTCTAAAGATCATGCTTTGGTATGGTGGTGGGTTGGTACTTTTTACTTGGATTGTAAAGGATGACATATTACTCTTAGTGGGTGTATGGAAAGGAGTTTGTGTGGGTGTCTAGGACTTTGGAAACGCAGACTCATTTTCTCCCTGCAAAAAATTGTGAGAGATGTAGGGTAGTATTTTTTGCATCCTTCCCCAGTCTCTAACTTTGATAACTTGGTGCAACTTAAGATATTTGATCCCAGTTCTTTCACTCTTTTTAAAAATATCTTGCCATGCAATGTAATAATCTTTTTTTTCACATTTTAAAAAATTCTGAACTTAAATACTAGAAAAAGAAGTATTTTTGTAGGCACAGTAGAAAACAAAAAGAGGACATGAAACTGTGAATCTCCATTTCATGTTGCTTGCTTAAAAAAGTACTTTTAAACCTGTCCTGCTTCCTCCAGACTTTCCTTTTGTCTTGTATACATTTAAAAAAAAAATTTCAATGGCTCTTTTTTGGGGGGCATCACTTGTTAACCCTTCTCCTTAACATCTCCCTAATTAATAACCAAGAGAAAGTGAAAAGATCCTGTAAGAAATAAGCATAGTCAAGCAAAATGAATCCATGTATTACCCTTGTCCAAAAATATTTGGTTCTACCCTTTGAGTCTTTGACCTTTTGTTGGGAGGTAGTTTTCCTGTGTCATCATAGGTCCTCTGGAGACATGTTTGATTATTTCATTGATCAGAGTTCTTAAGTCTTTGAAAGTTGTTTTTCTTTACATTGCTGCAGTCCTTGTGTACATTTTCTTCCAGTTTTACTCACTTCACTTATATTGGTTCACACTACCCAGGATTCTCGAAAATCCCCTTGTCTTTTCATATGGCACAATACTATTCCATTATATTCATATACCACAGTTTGTTTAACCATTCCCCAGTTGTCCAAGAGGCAATCTAAGACACATCCTTATAATCCAGTTCATTTCTTTTTTCCCCCTTTTAATCCCCACTTCAGACTTAGGAAGATTGTTTTACTTGTGACTATTTCTTCTGTGGTATAATCTTCCTTCTTATCCTCTCCTCCCTCATCCCCATTTGTTTTCTTATTCAGTTTCATGTATTTCTGCACCAAACTATTGGTGTGTGCAATGTACTAATTAATCTTCAAATATGATGCCATTGAGCCACTATCATTAGGATACATTCTTTGAGAGTTTTAAGAAAAATTTCATTACTCTCTATTGAATTTAACAGGCTGTGATTAAGGTACCTATTAAGTTACTCTCACTGTGCTGATCCTTCAGAGGAAACAAAGCATATAGGACATAATCATTCCCTTAAAGTGTTTACCTAGTTAACTCAGTGGAGAGGCAAGGCAAATCATATACGTATGAAATGAAGAAGAGTCAGTATGTGACAAAGTGCCGTAATGTATGGTATGGGCAAAGTGTTGTAGAAAGTCAGGATAGGGAGAGATCACAGTAGGCTTGAGTCTTCTGGGAAGGGTGCATGGCATGTGAGACTTAAAGCTGAACCTTTATGGATAGGTAAGATTTCATTAAGAGATGAAAACAGGGTCTTCCGTTTTGTTGGAATCTATAAGAATACAAATGGAAAAGATGTGAATAAAAATGGAATGTTTATGGGCAAGTTTAAAAAAACACTAATTGGATGGCTTTTTTCAATTGATTGATCCACTCCAGGCTGGCAAACTTCAGTTTCCTATTTTCTTGTCCTGGAGCATTCTTTATATAAATATAGTGCCAAATTTATTCATTTTTTCCTTTTTTTAAAAATTAATATATTTTGATTTATCAACAATAACTTCCATAAGCTTTTGGGTTTTAAATTATTTTCCCTCTCCCTTCCCACCTCTCTCCCCAAGACGGCTCGCAATCTGATATAGGCTATACATTTACATTCCTATTAATATTCATTTTGTTTTTTTAAACTTTCCAATTAAAAAGCATTTATTTTCTCATTCTTCCCCCTTCTCCCCCTCTAGCAGCTGAAAAAGAGAAAAATAAAACCCTTGTAACAAATATTCAGTCAAGCAAAACAGATTCCTACATACAAAAATGTATGCCTCATTCTCCCCCCTGATTTATTTTCATGGAAAAAGCTTCATAGGGCACAGTGGAGGATAGGTTCATTAATTAATCAGAAAGCATCAAGCACCTGTCATGTTCCAGGCACTGGACTAGGGACTGGGTATACAAATGAAAGAATGAAACAATCCCCACTCTTCAGGACCCTATGTTTTATCAATGCAGACCACAAATACACATATATTCAAAGTGTTCCAGAAATGTTAAATTATTTTAAACTATTAGAGCCAAGACTTTCAGAGCAGCCTATATAAGGAAGGAGGAAAACAAGCATTTTTTAGGCACTTACCACGTGCCAAGCACTGTACTAAGTACCAGAGGTACAGTTATGAGCAAAATGAACATTCTGATGGGGGAAACCATCCATAAGAGGGGAAGGAGGCAAGGTAGTTGGCACAGGGGCATGGTTTTGAAGTTCAGAGAGATGGTTACAAGGCCTGAGGGAGAATGAAGGCAGGGTGATCTAGGCCCTTCCACAAAATTGAGGCTCGAGAAGGAGCTCACTAATGGAACAAGGGAGATGTGTCTTGTGGAGAAATATTCAAGGGGGAGCAGGCCCCATGGGTGGTAGGCTGTTCTATGGCAGGGAGGCCTCAGTTGGTGAAGAAAGTTCCAGGATGAGCTCGCAATAGAGAAAGCATGGTTTTGAAGTCCAGAAAGTCAGGGCCAGGAGGAAAATGAAGGTATAAGTCTATGCTGAATAAATACAAAAAGAATAAATACCAAGTAATTTTAAAGGAAGGAGATTTGGCAATTAGAGGAATCAGAAAAGGCTTCATGTAGGAGGCAGTGCTTAAGATGTGTCTTTGAGGAAAATAGAGGTTAAGCTAAGGGACAGAAGATGGAATGAACAAGACAAGAAACAAGAGAAGGCCAGTTTGACTGGATCCATGGGAGAGTAATGTGCAGTGAGTCTTGGAAAAAGTAGGTTGGGGTCAGGTTATGAAGGGCTCTTTAAACTGACAAGTGCAATTTATGTTGTGTCCTAGAGGCAACGAGGAACCACTGGAATTTATTATTAGTAGAGGAGGGACATGATCAGATTTGCACTTAAGGAAGATCATGAAAAAAATCACTTGGCAGCTAGTATGGAGGAGATTTGAGGCAAAGAACCAATTAGAAAACCATTGCAGTTGGCTATGGGAGAAGCATTGAGGGCCTAAGATAAGGTGATGTCTCTGTGAGTAGATGAAAAGGATAGGGTACTAGATGTAGAGGTAGAAACGGCAAGATTTAGCAAGTGGTTGGATATGCAGAATGAGTGAGAGTGACGTGAGGAGTCAAGGATTATACTGAGGTGATAAACTTCATGGTGCTTTGGAGAGAAATACGGAAATGCAGTAAAGGGGAGGGTTTAGGGAGAAAGAGAACGAGTTCTGTCTTAGCCATTCTGTAATGTCCATTAGGCAGTTGATGATTTGAGGCTGAAGAGGAGAGTCTAGAGATGGATATCTAGACCTGTAACTCTTTGGCAGAGATGATAATTGAACCCATGGAAGCTGATGATATCATTTAAGAGTAGGTAGGAAGAGAAGAAGAGAAAGGCCCAGAGTAGAGCCTTGGAGAATGTTTAAAGTTAGGGAATGTGATGTGGATAATGAGCCAGTAAAGAAGACTGAGGAGTGGTCAGACAGATAGGAGGAAAACCCATTGAAGAGAGAAGACCCAGGAGGGATAAATGATCAACAACATCAAATGCAGCAGAAATGTTAATCAAGTTGAGGACTGAGAAAGAGCCATTAGATTTGGCTATTAGGAGATCATTGGTAACGTTGAAGAAAGTAGTTTGTGATGAGGTCTGAAGCTGGATTTGCAGAGGGTCGTGGAGGAAGGAGAGAAAGCAGAGACAGTAGACAATGAATGTAGTTAGCTTTTTCTATGAGTTTGACTGAAAAAGGAAGGAAAGATGAAGGCAGAAATAACAAGAACTAGCAATGGATGAGTTATGCAGGCTGACTGTGAGTAAGGAGTTGATCAAAAACACCAAGGTTTTGTCTCTGAGTCATCAGGCTGGTGGTGTTCTTGAGAGCAATAGGAAGCTGGTGGTGTTCTTGAGAGCAATAGGAAGCTGGTGGTGTTCTTGAGAGCAATAGGAAGCTGGTGGTGTTCTTGAGAGCAATAGGAAGCTGGTGGTGTTCTTGAGAGTAATAGGAAAGTTAGGAAGGGAAGAAGATAATGAGTTCTGTTTTGACATGTTGAGTTTGAGATACCTCTGGGACTTTTAGATTGATATATCCAAAAGGCAGTTGGTGATGCAGGACTGGAGCTCAGGAGAGAGATAAGGGCTGGCTATTTAACTCTGTGAATCACCTGCTTAGAGATGATCACTCAGTGGGAACTCACTAATCAAGATAAAAAAGAGAGAAAAGTAAAGAAGGCCCAGGACAGAACCTTGGGGGATACTCACTGGTAGTGGACTGATGGCATGGATGAAGATCCAGCAAAGGAGACTATGAATACAGATAGGGAGGAGGAGGACCAGGAGAGAGCAGGGTCATGAAAACCCAGAAAAGAGAGAGTAGCCGGGAGGAGAGGATGATTGTGTCAAAGTTCTACAAAAAGATCAAGGAGGAAACATTTGGTCTTTATCATTCCTGAATTTGAGCTCTTCTATTTGTTTGACTTTTTTATTTTTTGGAGGGGCATTGCTTGAAGACTAGTGTACCTTGTTGTCATGGTAGAGTAGATTTAACAGTCAAAAGACCAGTGTTCAAATCCGAGCTCCATCACTTAATAGCTACCTGTCCTAATCATTCAATCTCTCTAAACCTTGGTTACTCATTTGTAAAAAATATACTACTGCTACTTATACTAACTTATCATAGGATTGTTGTGAAGATTGAATGAGGTGATACATGCAGAGTATTTGGTCATCTATAAATAAAAGAGAGCTGCTATTGTTTTTTCCCATGCCAGTTGGTAGAGTCTGGAAACACCAAATGTGGTTGGTGATCATGAATAAGATTGTGAGTTTCAAGGGAGAAAACTGAGATTTTTATCTTTTGTTTTCAGGTGGCACTGTCTACTTTTGCAGTCTATGTGACAGTAGATAAGAACAACATCCTGGATGCCCAGAAAGCTTTTGTTTCCCTGGCCTTATTCAACATCCTCCGGTTTCCCCTGAATATTCTTCCAATGGTCATTAGCAGCATTGTACAGGTACAAGTCTAGACTGGGTATATGATTTCAAAGATAGGGAATTCTTAGAAAAACATTGTTTAAAAAAAAGTATTTCTCTATAGCCCCAATTCACTCCTTTTTCCTATATGTTATAACTTCCTTGAACAAGGTTATATAGCATTTTGAATCCCTCTCAAAGAGCCCATGATCCATATCTACATGTTAAAAGTTAGCTGTAGATGGAGGTTGGCATGTGGAGATTTTGGAAGTGACTGCAAGAAGGAAGCCCTGGGACTTTAGCTTTGTGTGTTTTGTCCTTCACACAGGGCATAGAGCTGACTCTGGGTTCTCAAAGTCTATGCCAGCAAAATACAAGGTCTGGCAAGTGGGAAGGGCCTAGTCCCGGTGAAGGCCTACACATGCATATGCCTGTTATCCATGGACCAGTCTAGCTGAGTTCAGAGAATGTCTTTGCTGGACGATTGGCCATCAGGTCTTAAATTTTCTCACCCACATAAGTAACTTGTGGAAACATCTACCAAGGAAGACCTCTGTATCATTGAAAGAGGTGGCCACGTAGATGAAGACCCAGATACTTGAATTAGAGTTTCAGAAGCATCTCCACACTTTTAACCAAAGTTTCACCCTGTCTTATATGTTTGCCTGCAAATTTCAGTTTCAGAAAAACTCAATGAATGTGACCAAGGGCTGTGGCTTTGTGTGTGTTGGTTTTTTTTTAAGAACTGAAACATAGACTCAAAGCCATTAGAAGTGAACATCCAGGACCACTAGCTTAAATGGAGCCATATATAAACACACAAGTCAGAATGAATTGCCCAAATTCTGCTGTAGCTGGGCAGGCTGAATTTTGAAAGGCTAAGCACTTTGAGCACAGAGGTAGCTCCCGAAAGAAACATTTGAGTGTTTGAGGGGCTTTTGTCAGGGCATCAAGAAAACTCATGCCCATCAGACTGAAATTTGGGGCTGTTGACAGCCTTTCTTACTTTTTGGTAGAGGGATGGCTGATGGGTGAGGAAAAGCTTCTGTTACAAAGGTTTTTTTTTTTTAAATAGCTTATAAATCTTATGCTATTTTTAAAAAGAACAGCCACCACCACCTATAATTACTGTCTGTTTAGGCAAGTGTTTCCCTGAAACGCCTCAGGATATTCCTTTCCCACGAAGAACTGGAGCCAGACAGCATAGTGAGAAAGCCTATCAAAGATGGTGAGTGTTTGTTTTCTCTTACTGTGTCAGGATGCGCTGGCTTTCACTCCCTCCTTCTCCCCTCCACACGCCTTCTTTTTCTTGGCTTTCTTTGTAATTTAACTCTACCCTGACGTTTGCTTAGCACAGAGGAAAATGCCAAGGGGAGGGAGGAGGGCAGAATGGGATATGGAGAGTTTTGTTGCTAGTTCCTTGTTGAATTTCCGTCCTCTCCCCAATCCCACAGGGATGCCTGCAGTGTGAACATTATCACAGGGATAAGGCTGCCCACTTTGTCTTGTCTTCCAGCTCAGGGCAGATATACTGAGGTTTCAGTCTTCTTTACGCCTGGCACTATAGTTATTCTCTGTCGGCCTAGAGTCAAATCCTACACAGCACAGGAAGGATGCTGTCTCTTCTCAAGTCAAATTTGTCTATGAAACTGTGTGGGTTGAAACTTGAGGAGAATGGGGGCAAGTTTCTCATTACTGAAGCTTACTACCTTGAGGTGTCTAAAAATCTCGGAGTGCAGAGTCTCTCTTGAGTAATTTATAGACATCCTTAATCATTTTGTTTAGTCTGGTGAAGCTATGGACCCCTTCTCAGAATAATGTTTTTAAATTCCTATAATAAAATACACAGATAACAAATTACTGAAGTAAAGATATAATTGTTTTCCTACCTGAGTTCACAGAACCCTTAAAATCTATCCATTAACCTTGGAACCCTTAAAATCTATCCATTAGCTCCCCTCCCCGCCATGGGGGCATTCTGTGGACCCCAGGTTCTAAGAACCCTTGCTTTAAAACGTCCATTTTAGGTACCATTATTTTGACTTACTGAAATGAATCTGCACCCCCCCCCCCACTTTTCTTAGCATCTTTTTTTTTCAATAGTTTATTTTAATGACTGAAATATTTGAAAAAAAAAGATGCCTTGTCACATATTTAACATTAAAGGTGAGATTTTAACCCATGTCCTCTGAGTTCAGAGCCAGTGGTTTTCTTTTTTTTTTCTTTCTTTTATTAATTTATTTTGATTTATCATTAATCACCTCCATATGCTTTTGAGTTTAAAATTTTTCTCCCCCTTCCTCCCCACCACCCTCCCCAAGACGGCGCATAATCTGATATAGGCTATACATTTACATTCATATTAAACATATTTTCACATTAGTGATGTTGTAAGTAGAAATTAAAACCAATAGGAGGAACCATGAGAAAGAGGAAACAAAACTCAACAGAAGAGAAAAAAATTAGCAATTCGGCTTCCATAGTTCTTTCTTTGGGTGTGGATAGCATTTTCTATCACAAGGCCTCTGGAGATGTCTTAGATCCTTGTATTGCCAGGAAGGGTTAAGGTTATCAGTATTAGTCATCATGCAATGTGGCTGTTATTGTGTACAACGTTCTCTTGGTTCTGCTTACTTCACTCAGCATCAGATCATACAAGTCTTTCCAGGTTTTTCTGAAGTCAACCTGTTCATCATTTCTTATAGCACAATAGTATTCCATCACATTCATATACCACAACTTGCTCAGCCATTCCCCAATTGATGGGCATCCTCTCAATTTCCAGTTCTTTGCCACCACAAAAAGGGCTGCTATGAATATTTTTGTACATGTAGGTCCTTTTCCCATTTCTGTGATCTCTTTGGGATATAGCCCTAGAAGTGCTATTGCTGGGTCAAAGGGTATTCATATTTTTATAGCCCTTTGGGCATAGTTCCAAATTGCTCTCCAAAATGGTTGGATCATTTCGCAACTCCACCAACAATGCATTAGTGTTCCAGTTTTCCCACATCTTCTCCAACATTTATCATTTTCTTGTTTTGTCATGTTGGCCATTCTGATAGGTGTGATGTGGTACCTCAGAGTTGTTTTGATTTGCATTTCTCTAATCAATAGTGATTTAGAGCATTTTTTCATATGACTATAGATGGCTTTAATTTCTTCATCTGAGAACTGTCTGTTCATATCCTTTGACCATTTATCAATTGGGGAATGACTTGTGTTCTTATAAATTTGACTTAATTCTTATATGTTTTAGAAATGAGGCCCTTATCAGAGAGACTGGTTATAAAAATTCTTTTCCAGTTTTCTACCTTCCTTCTAATCTTAGCTGCATTGACTTTGTTTGTGCAAAAACTTTTCAATTTAATGTAATCAAAATTATTTATTTTGCTTTTTGTAATGTTCTCTATCTCCTGTTTGGTCATGAATTCTTCTGTTCTCCATAGATCCAACAGGTAAACTATTCCTTGCTCTCCCAGTTTGCTTATAGTATCAGCCTTTATATCTAAATCATGAACCCATTTAGACTTTATTTTGGTATATGGTGTGAGATTTTGATCTATGCCTAGTTTCTGCCATATTCTTGTATGCCATACTGCCATACTCCAGTTTTCCCAGCAGTTTTTTTCAAAGAGTCGGTTCTTATTCCAGAAGCTGGGGTCTTTGGGTTGATCAAATAATAGATTACTATAGTCATTGACTACTGTGTCTTGCCTATTTAACCTATTCCATTGATCCACCACTCTATCTTAGCATCTTTCTTTTTAAATTTTTAAAATTTTTTGAAAATTTTAATACTTTATTTTTCCCAGTGATGTGTAAAAACAAATTTTTAACGTTTTTTTTATAATTTTGAGATATCCAAGTTCTCTCCCTCCCCTCCCCTATCATTGAGAATGCAAGCAATTTCTTAAAATAATACATGTGTAGTCACACAAAACATATTTCCTTATTAGTTATGTTATGAAAGTAAACACAAACAAAAAACCCCCGAGAAAAATAAAGTAAAACTAACACCTTGATCTGCATTCAGAGTCCATCAGTTCTTTCTCTGGAGGTGGATGGCATTTTTCATCACAGGTCCTTCAGAATTGTCTTGGATCATTGTATTGCTGAGAAAGTCATTCATAGTTGATCATTGTACAGTATTGCCAATATTGCCATTACTGTGTACGATGCTCACCTGGTTCTGCTTACTTCGCTTTGTATCAGTTCATAGAAGTCTTCCTAGGTTTTTCTGAAACCTTTCTGCTCATCATTTCTTAGAGCACAATAGTATTTCACCACAAGCATATGCCATAACTTGTTCAGCCATTCCCCAACTGATGGGATGCCACTTTTTAATAGTGAACTTCAGAAGGCATCTAAGTGACACAGTGTCCAGAGTGCTGGATTCAGAGTCAGGAAGACCTTAGTTCTAATCCTGCCCTAGACTCTTGGAGTATGCAGGTGAAGTGATGCTAGGCAAGTCATGCAGTCAGCCTCAGTTTCCCCATCTGCAAAATGGGGACAATAATAGCATCTACTTTACAGAATTATTGTGAGAATCAAAAGAGATAATCTTTGTAAACTGCTTTGTAAGCCTTAAACTGCTGTTATATGAGTGTCATCATCATTGTCACAATCATCATCATCGTCATCATCATCTGCAACTAGATACCAGTTGTCAGCCTGACCTTGCACCTCCCCCTGTTTTACAGGACATAGAGCCTTTCTTAATTTTCTTAAATATTTTGTTATTTTCTTAATTTTTTAGTAACAAAAGTTTAGGTTTAGTTGTAAGTTCTTCAGTTAGTTTTCCTTTATCAAATGAGATACATATTTTGCATAGAAAATTCCTTCCTTCATTGAACAGATGTCTGAGTGCCTGGGATATGCTTATTACTTTACTGAGTCTATAAGAAATGATGAGTATAAAGCATAGTTCCTGACCTCAAGCTTCCTATCATCTAGTTCACAGCGTCACAAATTTAGAGCTGGGAGGGACCATCTAGGCCAAATTCCTTATTTTACAGATAAGAAATTAAGCCCCAAAAAGGTTAGTAATTGGTAATGCCAGCTTTGGAACCCAAGTCCTTTGACTCCAAATTCATCACTCTGTGGTTATTGAAAAGAGATTTACTTCATGACACAGAGAAATACTAATATAACAGAGAATGTGGTTAAGTTCTAAGATTAGTGTCGAAAGCAGTCATGGCCATAGGAATTTAGGTGAAGGACAAATGAGGATGAACTGCATTAATTAGGGTAGGATGAGATGATTTTGGACCTCAGAACTGGGGCTGGAATAGGAGGAAAAAGCATAGTATGGGCCTGAAGCATGGCAGTAGGAATATTCATTTGATGGGACAGGGGGATAATGGGGGAGTGGGGCAGGGAAGATTGATTTTGTAGATTAGAGAATTCATATAGGGTCATAGTGAGAAATAACTTTGGAAATGTAGGCTGGCACCAGATCGTGGAAGGCCCTGAATGCCAGCTTGAGAAGCTCACGTTTTATGAAGTGGGTAAATGGGTAAACCATTGATGGTTTTTTGAAATTTTTTTTTTTAGAAAGATTTTTGAGAAGATCATGATGAAATCAGTACTCAATGAAGATTGATCTGGCAGTGGGGTACAGAATAGACTAGTTTGGAGGTTAGTGTTGTCAGATAATACTATATGAAGGCTTACATTAAGTTGGGAATGGAAATAAATAAGTGGCTATGAGAAATACATCTAGGGAGCACAGTAGATAGAATGCCAGTCCTGGAGTTCGAATCTGGCCTCAGATACTTACTACCTATGTGACCCAGGGCAAGTCATTTAACCCTGTTTGCCTCAGTTTTCTCATCTGTAAAATGAGCTGGAGAAGGAAATGGAAAACCACTCCAGTATCTCTGCTAAGAAAACCCCAAATGGGGTCATGTAGTGTCAGACATAACTGAAAAACGACTTAACAACAACAAAAGTGAGGGGGATGAGCTAGATGACTTTTGTAGCCCCTTCCTCCTTCAAATCTATAATCTTACTGTGGATGAATGCTGTATAAATGTGAGCTGCTGTTATTCTTGTTATCATCTGATTGGGGTAGGAATTGTGTTCTCAGCTGATCTCTGCATATGTAGCAGATATCTCTAATCAGTAATCTCCCTCGACTTCAGCTTGGTGGGTGAATTTCTTTATTGTTGAATAGTTCTGCTTGTGAAACTTTATGTCTTTAGAGTACCCCGGAACTCTGTTATAATGTTTCCTTCCCAGCTCTCGGGCATGGTGTGATTTCCTCTGCTAAGCTGTCCTCATCCATACCAGTTTCAGTTCTTTGGGTTCCAGTGGCCACAGCTTGCTGGAGAAGACAGGAAGCCAAATCCCACATTGCCTGACCCAGTCTTGATAAGTCTTTTGCTTCTCTTGGGCCCTGTGACCGCATCTGGTCCCTGCTGATTTGTTATCATTGTCTTTTAGGTGGAGGTGCCAGTGTCATTGTGAAAAATGCCACATTTACCTGGTCGAGAAATGATCCTCCAACTCTGAATGGGTAAGTCAGGGCAAGCTTTCCAGACCTGACCCCAAGACTCTGCTGCTAACCTTACCTGACTGTCTTACTATGTGTTATGGCTGTGGCTGTTTGTTATGGGTCACTGAAAATACCTCCTGCTACTGGGTGGGTGGTAGCAGGGGGATGGTCTCCTGTCTCACCCCTTCCCTCCCACCCTCAAACTAGCAAGACTGAAATATGCACATTGGAAGGCATCTGTGTATATGCCTGCTGTTGAAGAACACATATAGGCTACTTTGGTTGCCTGCAAAGTAGAATGGGCCCTTTGAAGATGTTCTGTTGCCCGGCCAACTATTGCTTTCTCCTTGGAGCCACCCCTGTCTCCTCCTATTTCCCTCCCTTTCAATTGCTTATCTTTATGAGGCAACACAGTGTTAAGGGAAGTGACCTCTGTTCCCTCGGCAGCCTGTCTGCGGGTGGCTTGTCAAGTGTGTTCATATTTCTTTCAAAGTCAGTGCATTTCTTAACTCTTGCCTACCGTAGACCTGACGTTCAGCGTTAAAGCTTGACGAGCAGGTTCTAAAAATGAAAAGTCTAGAAGGGGCTCGAAAGGGTCTTGTTCGATCTTTTTGTCTCCTGAAAAAAAAAACACATTTAGTTTTACATGATTACATTGTATAAACTGTAACAGATTGCTTACCATCTCAGAGAAAGGGGGAGGGAGAGGTAGAATTTGGAACTCAAAACTTTTTAAAAAATGTTTCAGAAATTGTTTCAGCATGTAATTGGGGAAAAATAAAATATTATGTTTTAAAAAATGCATTTGGATTTGACAGATAGTTGCTCAGGTATTTCTGAAAAATTCCCAGAGGAGTGGACTTTTTTCGGTCACACGTTCTATTACCATTTGACATCTGATTCTCTTTACCGTCAGGAAGGCCTCTCTTTTGTTTTTATTGGAGAGAGAGGAAAGGAATCTCTCTTTTAAGATGCAAGGCCTGCTCTCATAGTCATCCCATCCTGTTTCTCCACCTTTCTCTTTTGCAGTCCTCTGGTTCCTTCTGGTCAAGGGTAATTAAACCAGCCCCTGGCCTGTCTTGTTGGCTAAAGATGCTGGTTTTTCTTCTTGTTTCCTTTCAGCATCACTTTCACTGTGCCAGAAGGTTCCTTGGTCGCCGTGTTGGGCCAAGTAGGCTGTGGAAAATCATCCCTGCTGTCTGCACTCTTGGCCGAGATGGACAAGATAGAGGGGCACGTGTCTATCAAGGTATGTTTGGGTATTCTTAGGAGCTAGAATAGAAGGGAAGTGGGAATAACTCCACGGAAGAAAACTGGGGAAAGATGCCTTCTGGCTTTTTACCAGGAATATGAAGGACATACTAATGGGAATAATGATGATGATAATAGTAATGATGATAATAATAATAGTAGTGATGATGATAATAATAGTAAATACTAATGTTATGATATTAATAATAACTAGCATTCATATATTACTTTAATGTTTGCAAAGCACTTTACAAATATTACATTTTTTAGTCTTCACAACTAACTAAATAAATAGCTAACATTTATATAGTGCTTACTATGTGCCAGGCCCTGTGCTAAGCGCTTTACAATTATTTTCTCATTTGCTCCTCACAACAAACCTGTCAGGTAGGTGCTGTTATTATGCCCATTTTGCAGATGAGGAAACTGAGGCAAAGAGAGGGCAAGTGACTTGTTGGTTGATTGGTTCCTTTCTGTGCTATGTTGCTGTTCAGTCATGACCAACTTTTCGTGACCCCATCTGGGGTTTTCTTGGCACAGATACTGGAGTGGTTTGCCATTTCCTTCTCCAGCTCATTTTACAGATGAAGAAACTGAGGCAAAAAGGGTTAAGTGACTTGCCCAGGGTCCCGGAACTAGTAAGTGTCTGAGGCTGTGTTTAACTCGAGGGCTGTTGTTCTATCCACTGCACCACCTAGCTGTCCTTCCGTGCTCGCTAATACTTCAAACTGCTTGTTACAAAGCACTTACAAATAGAGGCCCTTCGAGGGGCTGCTATAATGAATATGTGAGACTCATTTGCATTGTGGTATAGTAGAAATTTGGATTACCTAGGTTTGAATCTGGCCTCTGCTTACTGCCCACACAAGTCATTTCTCCCCTTTGAGCCTTGGTTTCTTCATCTGCAAAATGAGGGGATTGGACTAGATGATCTCTGAGCTGTAAATCCTAGCTGCCTATGACTTATAATTAATAGTATCCTTTTATAGCTTTTGAAAGTGTTCTCCTTTAAGTAGGTTAAGCATTACTCCTGTAGTCTTATTTTCCTACTTTATTGCTTTTCTCACAAACCCTCTTTACTCCACTGAATCTATGGCCTCATCTATGTGGGTGTTGCTTCTCTGCTATAAATTGATATGTATCTCTGCCTCCTCATTCTAGAACACATCAGGACATCCTGGCCCTCCTACTTATTATTAGCTGCATGACCTTGGGCAAGTCGCATGACCTCTCTGGGCCTCATTTTCCTCTCCTTTAAAATAAAGAGCTTGGACTCACTGACCTCTAAATTCCTATCCAGCTCCACATGTTTGAGTCTATGATGATTCTAGAAATCTCCATAAAGAATCAAATCCTTCATTGATTATGGAATGTGAAATAAATTTCAGCCCTGAGAGAATGTTCACAAGTTAAAAATTACAGGAACAGGATCTGAATGAATAAGGCTTTACTGTGTTTTTTTTTTTTTTTCCCCAAAGAAATGCTTTTTAATTTTTATTGAGTCAGAATCACACTCTAAACTAAGACAGTTGGGCAAAAGGTAAAGTAAACTAATGGGGAAAACACCAGTTTGCCATTGGCTTACTTAGCATAATAGATCATTAACATAAAAGCCTTCAATACCTAAGACTGAATTGCTGGAGTTCCTGCTTTGGACTTGAAAAAGTTGCGAATATTTGACTGTTTTTTTTTTCCCCCTTTGCACGTAAGCCCTGGGCAATTTATGAAAGAAGATATTATTTCTGATGTTTTATTTGGCAAGACTTGTGTTTATTATCCTCAAATTATCCTAAATTCTGAATGAAGGCTGCATTAATGAGGTTTTAACTCTGTTATAGCCTTAATGGAGATTTCACCACTGAAATGGTCATATTGGAAGTAGCTATCTGGAAGGCAGTGCCATATACTCTAGTGGAAGTAATGCTGGGCAAAGAGTCAGAAAGCAGAGGTCAAATCCAATCCCTGGAAATAGCTGTGGGCCTGTCACCTCGTTGGGGAGGTGTGGGTAGACAGCAGTTTTGTCTGAAAAATCCTAGGGGTTTGGGTGGACAGGAAACTCAGCATGAATTGAGCAATGAGGTGTAGTAGCCAAAGAAGCCAACATGATCTTGGATTACATCAAGAGAAACACAATTTCCAAGTATAAGTAGATGATAAACTGGATGCTGGCCTGACTTTGAATGAAGCACTGGGTTTAATTCTGCTTAAGAGGGGTAATTGATCACTAGACAGCATCCATAAGCAGGCAACTAAGGTGGTGAATGGCCTTCTACGAGTCCGTGTCCCATAAGGATGGAAAAAAAGAAGCCTAAAAGGGAAAATGATCATTGTGTTCAATTATTTGAAGAACTCACTTGTGGAAAAAAGATTGATCTTGTTCTCTTTGACCCCACAGGATTGAAGTAGAAACTACGCGTAGAAGTTGCAAAGTGTGAGGGAGGGAGGGATAAAATTTGGTACTCAGATATTTAAATAAATTTTTTGGGTTTTTTTTTTTTTTTTTTTTTTTTTTAGGCAGTTGGGGTTAAGTGACTTGCCCAGGGTCACACAGCTAGTAAGTGTCAAGTGTTTGGTCTGAGGCCAGATTTGAACTCAGGTACTTGTGACTTCAGGGCCAGTGCTCTATCCACTGTGTCACCTAACTGCCCTAAACTCAGATATTTAAAAAAATATATATATAAAAAAATTATTTTAACATGTAACTGGAAAAAAATAAAATATATTAAATAAGGAAAACAAAAGAAGTTTCAAAGTGGCAAATGTAAGGTTGATGTCAGAAAAAAATTTGTTGACCATTAGAGGCAAGGCCAGATCTGGCAGGAAGTACGTATTAAGTGCTTGTTCAGTGCCAGGCACCTTGCTAAGTGCTTACAGATATAATGTGCAAAAAGAAAGACTAGTATTGCCTTCAAGGAACTTTCATTATATTGGGGGAAGAGTAAACACAAAAAGAAGCTTAAATTAGAGTGGGATGGGGTGGTCAAAGCTCCTTGGCAGGTCCTTTGGGGGAATGTAAAAGTTCCCAAAAGTCAGAAGCATATGCAGAAGGGGAATGAAAGTTGACTGCCCTGGATCCCTCCCCAGAAATGGAGGCCTCAAGAGGAACTCATCAGAGGGAGAAGGGGATGCTTATGGTAGAGGGATGTTCCAGAGTGAGGAGTCCCTAGGCACCAAGATGGTAGTGGGATTCCCTTGATTGTCATCTTCAGGTAGAGACTGGCCGACCACTTGTTGGGTCTGTTCTAATGAGGATTCAGTTTTGGAGGTGGATTGAACTAGATGGCTGCTAAAGTCCCCTCCAACTCGAAAAAAAATTTCTATGATTTATCTATTTCCTTATCTGTAAAATACACCTGACTGTTCCTCTTACCTCCTAGGGAATGCCTGGAGCAGTGGTGTCAAACTCAGTAGACACAGATCCCTGCAGGCTGTATGTTAACTTAGAAAACTACATACTAACATTATCTGTGCTCTATTATATTTGTATTTGTTTTATTAAACATTTTCTCTGGTTCAGGCAACACTGGGAGTGTTGGACCTGTTGACCTGTGTTAGACGCCTCTGCCTTAAAGTATTTATTAAGATAATAAATGTGTAAAAAAGTTTTGTAGAATACAGAACACTCTACAGATGCTCGATAGGAATGGTGTGTGTTTTGTCTCCTGTCCATTATTCCGTTTCTCATTCTTCCCCTTTTGCCTTTTATAGGGTTCTGTGGCTTATGTCCCCCAGCAGGCATGGATCCAGAATGCTTCTCTTAAGGAGAACGTTCTCTTTGGCCGACAGCCCCAAGAACGGTTCTACAGGGAGGTAATTGAAGCCTGTGCATTACTCCCAGACCTGGATATCTTGCCCAGTGGAGACCGGACGGAGATTGGAGAGAAGGTCAGTAGGATGTAGAGGATGTTGACTTATCCCTTTTGAGGGAGAAATTCTGCCCTGGGTGTCCAGGTATAACTGCTATGAGTCACTTAACCTCTCTGTCTGCCTTGGTTTCCTCATCTGTAAAATGGAGTTAAGAATAACACCGGAGGATAATAGGAAATACTATTTGTTAAGCTCTTTGTGAACCTTAAAGCACTATAGAAATGCTCGTTGTCATCATCATCATCAGTATTATTCTAAATCCAAATAATGAGTTTTAGATTATTTGTAGTTTGTTGTCCTCCATCAGGGTGAATGAACGGACATTCAGACCCTCCCTTCCATTCAAAGACAGAACAGGGCACAGCTGAGTCTCTTGTGGCTCACCGTATTTCTTTTTTCTTGGAGGCCGGGGCAATTTTTTTTTTTATGCTGAACTTAACAAACACCAAGTAAATGAACACTCCCATATACATAGTAGAACAGAAGAGGATTATGCGTAAAACTGTGCACTTCCATTATGAGTAGCTTGCTTTTCTTTTAAAATGGATAACAAATTCAACATGTAATTTTGAATCTGTTCTGCTAGTCTGTGGTTTCTTTTGGCTTTCTTTCTGTTCTCTTCAAGTTCACTGTTTTTCTTGAGGAACTCGTATAGAGTTTGGCTTTAAAAACATTTTTTTTTAACCTTTTTTCCTAGGGTGTAAATCTGTCTGGTGGTCAGAAGCAGCGAGTGAGCCTGGCGAGGGCAGTTTACTGTGATTCAGATGTGTACCTCTTTGATGATCCCCTCTCTGCAGTGGATGCCCATGTGGGAAAACACATATTTGAAAAAGTGATTGGCCCTCAGGGGATGCTAAAAAACAAGGTATTAAAGGGTTGGGGTTTTGCAATAAAGGAGAGAGGTATAGACAGAGTGACCATTGCTTTAGATGGACCATAGAACCTATGCATTGTGGTACAAGGAGGTAGGAAGTAAGAGTTGGAGAGAGGGAAACCCCTGTCACCTATCTCTCTGTCTCTCTGTCTCTCTCTCTCTCTCTCTCTCTCTCTCTCGTGTTTCCCTTTAGGATTTCTTAGCTTTCCATTTCTTTTTGAGTGTGATTTTAATCATTTTGGTTTGAATCCTTCCTTTGTAAGTCTCCCCAAGATAGTTTTGTCCAACTCTAGCTTGTTTAACAAAAGTCTTCCCATCCCTTATTGCTATAATGATCAATTCATTCATTCTGGATGGCCAAAGGGAGCTTTCTCTTCTAATTTAAGCAAAGATGGTGGTGAGTCCTCAGGGACAAATTTCCATGCCAAGACCTCGATAAGTTGTATAGATTGACTTGTTCTGTAGGGAGAGTGGTAGGCCGTGGAGTTTGAGGTTGGAGGCCAGAAATCAACAGTGGCTTCCTGGAGTAGTGGGAAATGTCTTCCTTCCTGCTTAGCTTTATACTTCAAAATACCTCCTTCCAGACACTGACCCTGATGGCCATTTTCTCTTTTGGTCCATTATGTCCTAGGGCTTTTATAATTGACCATTGTGTGGGAATGGTTGTCTGCATCTAATGGAGTCTAGTCAGGTTTTTGTTGTTGTGTTTGTGTTTTTAGACCCGCATATTGGTAACTCACAGCATCAGCTACCTGCCCCAGGTGGATGTGATCATTGTGATGAGCGATGGTAAGATCTCTGAAATGGGCTCGCACCAGGAGTTGCTGGACCGAGACGGGGCATTTGCAGAGTTCCTCCGAACTTACGCGAACACCGAACAGAACATGGAAGGTGGAGGTAAGAGCAGGGCAAGAAGAGATGCCACCTTGAGGTACCCACTCTCTTCCAGTTTGAAGAGAACCGTTTGCCTCTTTGGCCTCCTTTGTGTGAGAAATGTCAGGAGCGGGTCCAGGTTCTGACTTTTACTTACCAGTGTGGCTTAACCTTTTTACTATTTAATACAGAAATGTCCTCACCATGCTCATGGCCTTTCCTTTCTTCCAGATCAGTAAAGACACAGGACTAGATGACCTTCTCTTAACACACATGTCCTGGTAGCTAACAATTGAGAATCCGTCTCTTCTTGTCTCCCAGATGCCCTAGTCTAGAATATAAGGCTCAGGAAAGTTAGGGAAAGTAAAAGACAGAAATGGAGAAACTTTTTGTGTTCTGGAAGAGTACGAAGCAGAGGAGGCAGCTCTGGACCAGCATGGATGTGTTTCCTGTTATCTTTTTGTATCAGATCTTAGGATGAGGACAGCTTAGAGGGACTTCTAGGGAAAGCCATTGTTCACTCTTTCATTGTTTAATGCCATTTGTGTTAATTCCAAGAAGCTTAGTCCCTGTCTTCTTTTCTTCTCCCTGTCAGGCAAGGTTAAAGTTTGGGTAGTAATTTTTTCCATCCATTTTTGTATTGCTCTGTGCTAACATTCACTCATCAGAGTACCCATAATTTTAGTAGCAAAACTGACATTGTGACCTTTTAAAACTCACATTGTCCAGTTATTCTCAGGCCCTGTATTCACTCTGAGAAATGAGAAGCTATCTGGGTTGCTTTATCTTTGCACCTTAGATTTTTCTAGGGCTCGTGCTTTTGGCTTCTATCTCCCTAGTCTTAGAAGATGATTATTGTTGTTGTTGTTGAGTTGTTTCAGTTATGTCCGACTCTTTGTATGGGATCTTTGTGATCCCACTTGGGGTTTTCTGGACAAATATACTGGAGTGTTTTGCCAGTTCCTTCTCCAGTTTATTTTATGGATGAGGAAACCAGATTAAGTGACTTGCGCAGGGTCACATGGCTAGTTAGTGTCTGAGGCTGGATTTGAATTCAGATCTTCTTGACTCCAGTCCAGGTGCTCTGTCCATTACACCACCTAGCTGACCCCCAGAGGGTGGTAGCAGAGGCTATCTGATCTGTGTTTCATAAGTAAGATTTTGTTAAGATAGTACATAGAACCACATTCTTCCTTTGTTACAACCAGCCACCAACCTTAGATCTCTCAGCAAGTCATCTTGCAGATATCTATGCCTCTGGGAGGCCTCCTGTAAACTGTCCTCAACAGCTGAGACTAGTTGAGGCTATCTCTGGACCTCCAGGATCAAGGAAAGAGTTTTTAAAACCTCCCCTTTGGAAAAAAAAAAACCTTTTGTTAAATCAAGGAGCATTTGTCGTCCCCCTCCCCCCAGCCCCTCCCTCATGAACAAAACCAAAGCCAAGCTCTTCTAACAGATGTGCGGAGCCAAACAAAACAAATTTGACCATTTCCAAATATTACATTTCATCCTGCATCTTGAATGTGTCACCTCTCTGTCAGGAGGTGGGTAGCTTTCCTCCTCATTGGTCCCCTGGCATCATGACTGGTCATTGCATTGATCAGAGTTCAGAGTTAGTCTGTCCTTACGGTGTTACAGTGATTGTCTGAATTGGTCTCCTGGTTCTGTTCACTTCCTTATGTGTCAGGTTTCTCTGAAACTGCTTGTCATTATTTTGTACAGTCCCAAAGTATTCCATTACATTCATATATAACTGTCCTTTTTTGCCATCTGTACAGATTACATCTGTGTTTTTTCCATCCCTTTTGTATTGCTCTGTGCTAACACAATCTGTACAGATTGGCTCGAGTATAATGGTATATGAAAAGAGTCCTGCAATCCAGAAATATGCTCTGTTTTATTCCTTCCAGAGCCACCTAAGCTTTGGCAGTCATTCATGTAGAATGCCGGTTCTTTTTTATTTCTTCACATCATTTATAGTTGATAATTTAAATGTCACCCTAGCACCCAACTATTTAGTCAATTGTTTTTTCAGCCATGTTCAACTTTTGTGACCCCATTTGGGGTTTTCTTGGCAAAGATACTGGAGTGGTTTGCTATTTCCTTCTTTAACTCATTTTACAAATGAAGAACTGAGGCAAACAGGATTAAGTGATTTGCCCAGGGTTGCCCAGCTGGTAAGTGTCTGAGGCTGGATTTGAACTAAGGTTCTCCTGACTCCAAGCCCAGTACACTATCCACTGTACCATATACCTGGCCAGCTCCCAACTCTGCATCTCCCCAATTCAGAGACCAGCGAGGCCTTTCCCCTTTCATTTCTGGAGACAATACAGGGTTTTTCTAACCAGGATTGAAAGGCTTGCTCAGATTCAGCCTGATGTACCTGAATTCTTAATATTATTTTGTTTGCCACCTGAGGAAGAAGCTTTTTTTTCTTTTTGCATTTAATTTTTATTTTTTTTTCTCAATTACATATAAACAAAGTCTTTTAATATGTTTTTTAAAAAACATTTTGAGTTTTGAGGAGGAAACTTTTTTCTGTTTGAATAGCATTTCTTCCAAGCATCCCCATCCTTCTCCCAGGTAACCTGCATTTGTAACCCAGGTTCTTCATCCCTCTCTCTCATCCCATATCCACTCAGTTGCCAACTCACATTATTTCTAACTTCACAGCATTTTTCTTACTTCTCTCCCCTTACACAATCATAGCCCTCCTTCCCTTTCACTTGGACAATTACAACAACTTCCTAATTGTGGTTCCATTTCCCCTCTTCCCAAACCTTCATTCCCATAGCTGCTCAAATGATATTTCCATGGCACAGCCCAAGCAGTCCCCTCCTCCTAAACTCATTGGCTTCTTCCTGCCTGTGAAAAAAAACAAAACTTTGCAGCTAATCCATCCATCAGCAAATACTTATTAAATGCCTCCTAGGTGCCTGGCACTATGCCAGGTGGCTGGAGATAAAAGTACCCAGAATGAAATAATCCCTAATCAGTCCCTCCCATTTTAATGGGAGAAACACTTTTGGGACACCCTACATAAAGTGAATAAATACAATATACAAAATAGTTAAGCACAAGATAGTTTGAGAGGGAAGGCACTAACAATTGAAAGTATCGGAAAGGGCTACATGAAGAAAATGGAGTCTGAGGTTTGTCTTATGGGAAAAGAAGGATTCTGTAGGACAGGATCCCTTCACAAGATGGCTGCAGCCTGATTTATTAGCTTTGTTTTATGGCTAGAAACTTCATTTCCCAACAAAAGCTCTGTTCCAGCCAAATTGGACTACTCGATGTTTCTTAAATTTGACCTTCCTTCTCTCCCTCCACGTGTTGCCGCCAGGCCACAGAATGGCTGAGGGGGAACATTCTTTCTCTTTTGCCTTAGAATCCTTTTTTAGCTTATGTCCCTATTCCTCCTCTGCAAAATATACCCTTATCCTTCTGTTTTACTTCTCCCTTTCTACCTCCACTCTCCTCCTCTTCTCGTTAAATTACTCCTACATCACTTACACATTATAAAAGAATGGAAACTTCTTGAGGGCAGGAACTATTTCATTGTTGTTTCTCTAGTACCTAGCACAGGGCCTTCTACATTTTGGCAGCTTAACAGATAACCATCAAGGGCAGGTTGAAGCAAATTGAATAATGGCCCCCATTGATGGAGTCCTTTTAAATTTTCTAGGGTGCTTTTCCCTTAAGAACCTGGTGACATCGATATAGAGGTGTCATTATCCCTGTTCTGTAGATGGGAACACTGAGATGGAGACTTTTCTCGTGGAAAGTGGCAAAACTAGGACTCCATCTCAGGTCCTCTGACTTAAAATTCAGCGTTCTTCCCTCCACGTCAAGTCCCAGTGATTGATCTCAAAGAAACATGGTACTTTTTTTTTTTTACACATGGCATATGTGTGAGTGTTATCTACCACTTCTTATAAGATAGCATGGAGAAGCGGAAACTGAGGCATAGGTAGGTTGCTTCTTTCAATCATTCTTGGCTTCCCCAACTGCATTTCTTTATATGTTTTCCCTTTAAATGTATTATTTTTGGGGGGAGGGGGTACAAACATTCTTTATTCCATCAGACAGAAAATACAGAAAACACATAAGGATTTATGGTTGCCTTAAAATATTGGTACAGTTCTCCTCTTTTTCCAGGGAGTCCCACCTTCCCCAAGTGCTCTAAAGTTCTCCATATTCATAGCAGTATTCCAGAGAACTTAAGACTCGCCTTAAAAGGAAGTATGCTTAGCAGCCCTGTTTCTCATCAGCCTTGCACTGGCCAGATGATGCACGGTATTGACAGAGGGCAAAGTCTGAGTCTTTGTTCTTCCTCTGTTATGGCTTAGTTGCCCCCAGCTTCTCTGGCCTTAGGGCCTTTTGTGTGATTCCCATCCCTCTCCAAAAGTCCAGTGATACCCAGGGAATCTTCCCATCATTAAGGTTATATAACTTCCCCTTCCATGACTGCCAACTCTTGGGCTGCGAGGTTATACCACTGCCTCTATAAAATTGGGTCCAGGAACTCTCCTCCCTCACTGAGTGGGTGAGAACACATACAGTGCCAATTTGCTTGTTCTCTGAGATTGCTCTAGGGCAAGGGAGGGAGAAGGAATGATTCTCCCCTCCCTCCCAGTTTAGGTCTGCTCTGTTCTACTGTAGTTTTTCCTTCAAAAAATACAGACAAGGGCATCTTTTAGAGACTCAAAAATGACTTTTAAACTTAACTTTCTGTAACTTTTGGTTTTCTCAGCTCTAGGCAAGAAGGCCATGGCAGAGGAGGAAGGTTGGTGTTGCTTGGCTTAGATCTGGCTATAGTGCTTGCAGGTACAAGGCAGTAGTAGACTAGCCTCTATTGTGAGCTGCATGACTGTGACAAAAATACCAGTTAGTTTCTGCTCCTGCTCTCTTCACCTTAAAATAATAATAATAATAATAATGATAAAGCTAAGTGCATTCCTTATTAACGATGACAAAGAAGTATTGATCTTTTGGCTTGAAATAGGCACTCTGTACTCATATTTTTTTTCCTAGGGCACTGACCCAGCCTAGTAAGGCCCTTTCTGATCTTAGCCACCCGCTGCAGACATTAGCTTACTCTCCTAAGAGGTGGAGGCCTCTGGTGGGGTAGGGAGAGGCTGTAGGAGAAGGTAGTCTCAGGTGAAGTTTTGAGTGGCTAGTTGAAAGAGGGTTTAATTATATAGCCTTCTTCAAGTAGAGATGTGCACTTGATTGTCTTTGAACTTCTGGGTTTGACGGAAGGATGGCATGGGATTAAAGCAACTCTCTCACTGAACCTCCTGAGGACATTCCTTCTGAAGAGTCAAAGCAGCAACTGGAGGATGTTTGGAAGGGTCACCCTGTCTGTCATATGTTCAGAGATAGTCTGGTTGCTGGGGTCCTTCTCTGGTGCCCTGCGTATGGCCCAGTTCTCATCATTAAGTTCACGTTACCTGCCTTTTGGTACTTGATACACGCCGCAAGAAGGGAACTGATTTCAGCCTTGAAGAGATTGTTATTGGTGTTTTTTATAAAAATTTTATTGATATCCTTCGTTTTCATGTCACCTAAATTTTCCCATGTCTCCCTTTCCCTCTGCCTTCCCAGAAATCCATCCCTTATTGCAAAGAATTTTTTATAAGAAAAAATTAGAAGAGGAAAAAGATTTTTTTTTTAAATCAGCAAAACTTCAATCAGTACATTGAAAGAAATCTGACAGTATATGCAGTGTTCCATACCTGTGGACTTCCCCCCCTGTAGAGTTGTGGGGAGATGTCTTCTCATATTTCTTTCTTGTGGCCACACTTGTTCTTTGTAATTTCACAATATTCATTTTTGATTATTTTCTAGTTATTTTTCTTTGTATTATGGTAATTTGGTTATTTGAAAAGGAAGGCTTCCAGCAGATTAGTTTTCCTCTAGACCCAGTAAAAGATAAAATATGTGTTGTTAGTAAGACCAATGGAATGTAAGCAACTTGAGGGCGGAGACTCTCTGTCTCATTGTAGTATTTTTATCTCCAGGGCCTCCTACTATGCATGATACATAATAGGTGCTTATAAATGTTTATTGGTTGACTGATGGGAGGGAGGGAGCAGGGATTGAGAGGAGGAAGTAAAGCCGGAATGTCTGCCTGAGGAGGAATATATCCCTTGCTCTCTCCGACCTATTGGATCCCAACAACATCAGGCCAGCTTTCTTTCTTTTATAGAGCAGGTATCCCAAAGGCTGTCCAACTGGCCATCAGAGGACCACCTCATATATTCTAGTGCTCAAAGCCTTTTGCTGTTAGCAAAGCGTCCTTAAAATAGCAACATTTTCTTTCCAGAAATCGACTTAGATCTTGATGTGGCCTTTGTGTCACAGCTAGGGAAATTATACATGGCTGTCCCAAGACAAAATGCCTTGTAGGTTTTGTAAGAAGATTCACTTTGATGGTCTCCATCGGCCAACCCTCCACCTCTAGACAAAGGCCTATCTGATCTAGCTCCTCTTTACTTGAACAGGGAAGTTTCCAGTGGTTGGAGTGAGGGTATAATTTGTTTCCTGTATAGGCAGTACCCAGAATAAAGGTGTATCTTACTGCAAGCAAACCCTATATATGAGATCTGATTTGTCAGAAGGATTAACCAAATTGGGTACCTTGGGACTACTCAACCATCCAACAGTGACAACTAATAATAATATATTTTGTGTAGAACTGTAAGATTTATAGAATGCCTTCCTTACAACAACCCTGTGAGGCAGATAGTTTAAATATTTTTTTTAGGTTTCTTTTTTTTTAAATTTTTTTTCATTAATTTATTTTGATTTATTAACAATCACTTCCATAAGCTTTTGAGTTTTAAATTTTTCTCTTTCTCCCTTCTCCCCTCCTTCCCCAAGATGGCATACAATCTGATATAGGCTATACATATTCATTCCTATTAAACATATTTTCATATTAGTCATGTTGTAAGGAAAAATTAGAACCAATAGGAGGAATCATCAGAAAGAGGAGATAAAACAAAACTGAAGAAAAAAATAGCAAATAGTATGCTTCAATCTGCATTCAAATTCCATAGTTCTTTCTTTAGATGTGGGTAGTGTTTTCCATCATGAGACCTTTGGAGATGCCTTAGATCCTTGCATTGCTGAGAAGGGCTAAATCTTTCAACATTAGTCATCGCACAACGTCACTGTTACTGTGTACAACGTTCTCCTGGTTCTGCTCACTTCACTCAGCATCAGTTCATACAAGTCTTTCTGGGTTTTTCTGAAATTTGACTGCTCATCATTTCTTACAGCACAATAGTATTCCATTACATTCATATACCTCAGCTTGTTCAGCCACTCCCCAGTTGATGGGCATCCCTCAATTTCCAATTCTTGGCCACCACAAAAAGAGCTGCTATAAATATTTTTATACATGTGGGTCCTTTTCCCATTTGTATGATGTCTTTGGGATACAGACCTAGAAGTGCTATTGCTGGGTCAAAGGATATGCACATTTTTATAGCCCTTTGGGCATAGTTCCAAATTGCTCTCCAGAATGGTTGGATCGGTTCACAACTCCACCAACAATGCATTAGTGTTCCAATTTTCCCACATCTTCTCCAACATTTGTCATTTTCCTATTTTGTCATGTTGGCCAGTCTGATAGGTCAGTAGCTTAAATGTTATTACTTGTATGAACTTCAGGTAAGTCAGTAAGCCCCGTCATATCTCTGAGTCTCAGTTTCCCCATCCATAAAATTAGGATATTGGATTAGGTGATCCCTTCAGTTCTTCCCACCTCTAAATCCTATGTAAACTTTTTTTTATTTAAACAAGCCTATGATTCAATTAATTTAAGAGACACTCAATGGGGAAAGTCTGCCAGTACAGATTTGGCACCTCCTCTGCAGGTTATAGGCTTAGAGAATTTCCTGGGACACTGACAAGGTAAGTGATTGGCTCAGGGTCACACCTTAAGTTTGTGTCAGAGGTGGGAATGAAAGCTAGTTCTTCCTGACTCCAAGATTAGCTCTATAATCCTGTTCTTTTCATTTTTTTTTTTTTTAAATAAAACCGAGCCTCAGAGAGGTCAAAGTGACTTGCCTAAAGCCAAAGAACAACTAAACTTCAGATTCAGACCCAGGTCTGTCGACTCCCAGGGCGGTTCTGTTGCTCCTGTTCTATACCAGCTATTTGCTTTACATCGAAGTTCACTTAAATAGCAGGATCCCCTGGTGTCTTTCAAATATAAATCCCTTGACCAAAAATTCAATTCACACCAAGTTTTTAGAAACACATCTTTTGAGTACAGCCTCTTTTGCTCTTTTTTTAAAAAAATTTTTTTTTTAGGCAATTGAGATTAAGTGACTTGGCCAGAGTCACACAGCTAGTAAGTGTCAAGTGTTTGGTCTGAGGCCGGATTTGAACTCAGGTCCTCCTGACTTCAGGACCGGTGCTCTATACACTGCGCCACCTCGCTGCCCCCTCTTTTGCTCTTAACAGGTTATTGTTATTTTTTTTTTTTTGAGGCCATCCGGGTTAAATAACTTACCCAGGGTCACACAGCTAGTAAGTGTCTGAGTCTGGTCCTTCTGACTCCAGGGCCAGTGCCCTATCCATTGTACCACCTAGCTGCCCCTCATAAGGGCTTATCTAAAGCAGAGGGACCTGCACCACTCCTAATGGAAGCCTGAACCAGATTAAAAAGTAGTTGGTAAATATTTAATAAAATATATTACAACTTAGGTAATGTCGATTTTGTGGTTTTCAGAGTCATTGTGTGGCCAGCAGGGATCTATTTTCTATTTAAGTTTGACACTATTGATATAAAGCATTATGTAAGGTGTCTCAAAAGCCTCATTGCAGTTTTAAAGATTTTAACATAACAAAGAATTTTGGAATACCCTATGGAGTGTGAATAGACCCACCCCAGGGACCTCTGCAATATTTATCAGGCTTTTTGAATCCATTCAATCTGCCTCTCCTCCTCATTGGGTTAACAGATACCAATGGTCCAGCCGTGAAGGAAATAAAGCAAATGGAGAATGGAGTCCTGATAACTGAAACCTCAGAAAAACAGCTAAAGAGGTAGGGCTGTGTGTGTGTGTGTGTGTGTGTGTGTGTGTGTGTGTGCATTGGTAAATGTCCCTGGAGTTTCTCTGCCCTTTTTTCTCACTGACCTGAAAGAGGAGCATGATGCCACCCTCATGGCTTAAGCTACCAAAAAAGGCCTTTGGTTGGCCCAGGCCAGTGGAAGGGGCTGGCGTTCATTGTCATCTTGTTTTTTCTGCCTCTCACAACTTTATAAGTTCACCCATCTCTCAGGTTCAGACTGATCAGCCACAGTCTCTTCCTGGCAGAATGGCATGGCTTATATGCCTCATATTTTTGCAGTAAGTCCATCCTCCTTGACACCGAGGTTCCCTACATGGCATGGATTCTTGGGCCATTTGGCTTGAGTTGTGAAATTTGAAACAACAGGGTCACGAAGGAGCTTGAGAGCAAGCTCGGGATGTTTACTTTTAGCCAGCTAATAGAGAACAGCCGGCTGATAGGTCACAAATTCACTGGCGGTTACCTGATATGACCTGGGGCTCCTAGGAATTGCTTTATTTTAACAAACCAAAAAAATAAAAACGAGCACATGGGAAGAGCATGGTTGTTTTGAACACATCTTCCAGGCGCTTTCCTGATAACCATTCAGCTGAGGAGGACTTGTGCTCTGACGTACTCCATCATATCTTGAGGAACCTTTCCCTTCAGAGTTTATGCATCTGTCCATCCATCATTGGGCATTTTGGGGAAAGGTATGCAGGATGCCTGTTGTAGTCCTGGGAGTTAAGCAGCTTAATAAAGAAGAGGCATGTTGGTATCTGTCCTTGAGGAGTTAACCATCTAGACAAGGGGATATCAACACTAGAAATAGGTGCATATGATTATAATAAGGATAGTAGGACATTCCAAGGTGGAAGGGAGGTCAGGGATAGTGCAAGGTCAAAGTACAAGTGGAGGGAGTAGGCTTTGAGCTGTCACCCCAGCTAACTTTGTGAAGCTTCCCATGACTGAGAGGATTTCTACTTTCTCAGTGAGGAAACATTGGCTTTTGCAGGCCTTACTCTGCCAGAAGACCTGATTTTTCAGTTTTCATGTTTGGGATGGGAGTGTGGCTCTAATCTACTCTGGGGATCCCCAAACAGTTTGGGAACTTTTTGTCCGAGAGGGCAAAGCTTGTTTATTCTCTCTCCAATCATTTAGTCAAGCAAGGGTTTATTCAGTTTATTTCCTGAACGTCCTTAGCTGCTGTTGCTTCCCCATTCCGTTGTATTTCAAAAAATACCTTGTATTTGCCAATTATATGCCTATCTACATTCTTGTTGTCTTCCCTGAAGCAAAGTGCAAGGAATTGTTTTACTTTTGTCTTCATTTCCCCAGACCCTAACATAGTACCTGGCTGTGTTTCAGGACCTGCTAGGCACTAGGGATACAGACAAAAATGTAATGCTCCTTGACTGTAAGAAGCTTACATTCTACACGTGCACATATCTGAAGGTTCCAGCTGCTTAGTAATAATATGTCATTCACTTTCTTGAATTTTTGGAGGATTCCCCCCCACAACTCTTTGTCAATTCCCTCAAAAGAAATTGAAGCAGTTATGATGGATATGAGATCACCAGGCCTCACGGGTGTCTTGAGAGAGAGGAAGAGGCATATCTGTTTCATAGATCAGATTGTTTAAATATTTATTTAGATGCCATTAATGTATAAGGAAATGTGCTATGAGAGATGCAAAGATAGGTAAGACACAGTCCCTACCTTTAAGGAGCTTACATTCCAGTAGGGGCGATTTTAGTTTTGCAATAATGTTGCAGCGTTTTGCAGTAACCATAATATGGGACTGTATGTAGTAAGCATCATGACTATGCTTTACTGGGGGAGGAAGGAGAGACAGGGAACAGTGGCACAAGGAGGTGAGCTTACACCAGCTTGAGTATCTGAACTCCCTGACAAGAATGCCTTTGGTGTAAAAGATGACAGAGTTAGAGAGTGGAAGGGACTTCAGTGACCGTCGAATTCAACCCAACTGTTTGATTTGTCCCAGCACTTACTTGCCTGATGTTTATCTCACCCTGGTCCTTTCCTGGGCTCCCTTGTAGTGTTACTGAGTTTCACTAGAGAGATGGATTGGTTTGACAGGTTGCCAGCAAACAGATACATAGCCATAGCCATGCAGCTTGTGTTTTCCTAAGTTGAGTTTCAAATATACCCTCTAATAAGAGCCAAGGAAAATGCATTTTGAAAAACCACAGATGAAACTTTGGGCACGGTGGCTTTGACCAGAGGGAGTTGTTCTCTCCAGAAGTAATAATAACGATAGCTAACATCTATATATATATATATAAATGTTTGTTGTTATTGTTTGGACAACTTGGTGGCACAGTGGATAGAGTGCTGGGCCTGAAGTCAGGGAAGACTCATCTTCTTGAGTTCAAATCTGGCCTCAGACACTTAATAGCTGTGTGACCCTGGGTAAGTCACTTAAGCCTGTTTGCCTCAGTTTCCTCATCTGTAAAATGAGCTGGAGAAGGGAATGGCAAACCACTCCAGTATCTTTGCCAAGAAAACCCCAAATGAGGTCATGAAGAGTTGGACATGACTGAAACAACTGAACAATAACAACAACAACAAACATATATATAGCACTTACTATGTGCCAGGCACTATGCTGGAGTAGAAATATGGGATACTTCCCAGATGGCCAGGTTCAAGCCTTATCTAGTCCCGGCAGAATGTAAGCTCTTTTAGGACAGACACAATTTATTGTTCATTTTTGTCTTTGTGCATATTAGGCATTTAATACATACTTGTTAGATTGGATTGGATTTTAAAAATAAGCTATAGGAGTGCTGATGAGGGAGTGATTAATTTCTGAGAAATCCAAGGTTCAGGTACAGTGGCAGAGCTGGACCAAAACCCACATCTCCTGACCCCCAGGTCAGTATGCCGGCCACTTAGATCAAATCTTCTTGTTCAAGTTTGCTCTCTGCTCAGAGACTTTGCTCTTTTGGATCGTAGAACCCTGGCGCAGGCAGTGTGGCTGTTCTTGCTCTTAGTGAAATTTCTCATCTAGTGTGCGCTCATGTAGGTCCTGGGGCTCAGGCTCCATCTGTGACTACAAAGATTTGACTCTCTGTGTTGTTTTCTCTAGACAGGTCAGTAACTCCTCCTCCTATAGCACAGAGCCTATGAAGCATGGCAGCACAGCCGACATGCGGAAATCTGAAGCAGAGAAGGATGCCTGGAAGCTGATGGAGGCTGATAAAGCCAAGACCGGGCAGGTAAAATCCAAGTGTTCTTACCCTGCCTGCCCTTTGCTGATCAATCAGCTGCTAGTCTTTTAGCAATTTTTGTAATAGCATCAGTTTTTGACCTTGCTTGCTTAAAGAAAGGGAGGTGGAAATAGTGTTATCTCAGATTTAAAAAATATTTTGTTTTCATTTGTTTCATTTGTCCAGCTCTTCATGACCCCATTTGGGGTTTTCTTGGCAAAGATACCGGAATGGTTGGCCATTTCTTTCTCCAGCTCATTTTACAGATGAGGAAACTGAGGGAAGCAGGGTTAAGTGACTAGCCCAGGGTCATACAGCTAGTAAGTATTTGAGGCCAGATTTAACTTAGGTATTTCCGCCTCTGGGCCCAACATTCTATCCACCTTGCCACCTAGCTGCCCCAGATTTTAAATTTTACGGATTTAAAAATCTGTACTATGTTTAAAGCTATCCTGGAGTGCCACCACTTCTCCTTGCTCTTACTGACCCATTGACAGTGATGCCGGTGAGGGAGAAAATAACTCCCAAATCAGAAAAAAAGGGTAAATAGAGTAAGAGAAGGAGGCAATAGGTCTTTGACTATTCAAAGTTGGAAAAGGACCTTAGAGTTCATCTGGTTTAATGTCTTTATTTTATAGGTGAGAAAACTGAGGCCCAGAGGGCTAAATTCACTCTCCCATTGTTGTAAAGTTAGTCTTTATCCCATTAACCTTTCTAGTATTCAATTTTGCCACTCTCACATTGGCTGCTCCCAGAGATAGGAGAATAGTGCCCTTAAGTCAGATACTGCTTTTGCTGTAGTGGTGACAATAGGCACTTAGCCTCCAAGCCTCAGTTTCCTCACATTGTAAAGTAGAGATAATGTTTATACATGGGATTGGTAAGGTAAATCACTCTCCAAATGTGACCTAGGGATGTCTGTTATTAAAGGTTGTGAGAAAGCCCTGTCCACAAAGTGTCCCCTGTCAGTGGGGCTTGGTTTCACACATTGAAAGATGGTACCCAAGGATGGGTTGAGTAGAAAGTGAAGAGATGGGAGATTGGAAAGGGAGAACTTTGAGATCTATCTCAACATTGTAGCTACCTTCTTTACTCCATGATGTTTTTGTTGGGAAGCTGACCTCCAGATTGCTATTCCTTTCATCTCAAGCTGTCTTCCAAGAACTTTGAGATGATGAGCCAATTCCATTCTTTCCTTTTGCCCACCAGTCTTCCCTCTGCTTTTTTCTTGCCTTCCAGCTCAAAGCCTTCCTAGGGAGTCAGGTCACCAGCAGCAAACAATTACACCTCCCTCCTTGCTGCTTTTTAACTTCTATGTCTGTCAAAGGAGACAGAGATAAGAGACTGAAATGTCCGGTTTAGGTTACAGTAATTCCCTTCTGAGTCACTGTATTTCCTTGCCTTATATAGTGTATAATAAAAATGTGTGGGGAAGGTGGGGACTACTAACTGTACGATTCTCAGGAAAGATAGCATAGCATGCTGAACCAAACCAGGTCATAAGGAAATAGAAGCTTTTTCTGAGTGACTGGGAGTAACACGAGTGCTATAGAACTTAATTGATCAGTCAACCCGTGAGTGTCTTTGACGTCTTACTGAGGATTCACTATTGCACTAGGCTCTGTAGTGGTGTAAAACATGGTTTCTACCCTCTATCTAGTTGAGGAGACAAGCTTAACAGACATGAAACAACAGTTAATAATACAAGACAATATAATCATGCTACGTGCTAGGTCAAAGACTCTGTGTACTGTCGGAATTCTGCCCAGAAGGAGAGCAGTGTGGGCTGGAGTAGTAAGGGAAGGTTCCTGGAAGAGGCTCAGACATATGCCAAGCTTTAGAGGCTGAACAAAATTGGAAGAGGTTGAAGAGAGAGGAGAGAATGTTTTATTTGAGGGAAACAGTGACAGTGGAGGCGGGGAGGGCCTTGCTGACATAGGGTCACTGGCTTAGGCTCACTCTAGGACCTGGTTCTAGAACCATGACTTGGTCCTCAGCTGCCTGCTAAGGCTGTATAGGTTTTGGGGGAAAGTGAGTGACATCCTATATTTTTGTTTTTTGTTTTAATTTTGTAAAGTGGTTTTTCTCCCTTGTGTTTTTAGGTAAAGCTGTCAGTGTACTGGGATTATATGAAAGCTATTGGACTTTTTATCTCTTTTCTGAGCATCTTCCTTTTTGTCAGTAACCATGTAGCCGCCTTGGCTTCCAACTACTGGCTTAGCTTATGGACCGATGATCCCGTGGTCAATGGGACACAGCAGCACACGGATGTCCGGCTAGGTGTGTATGGAGCGCTGGGCATTTCTCAAGGTGAGCCTGCCAAGATCCCGTATCCCTGAGTTAGAAGATTTTTGCCTCCTCTTGTTATCCTGTTGAAGCCAGTATTGGAAGGGTGATGAAAAGAATAGGGGTGCTCATTGTTTTTCAGATTTGGGGGGTTTTTTGGTTTTGTTTTTCATATTTTAAAACTGAACTAGTTACTTTTCACTGCAGTACTCTGAGATGGGTAGAAAGGAAGGTTCTCCTATGCCTGTTTTAGAAATGAGAAAGCTTGGGCAGCTAGGTGGCGCAGTGGATAGAGCACTGGCCCTGGATTCAGGAGGACCTGAGTTCAAATCTGGCCTCAGACACATAACGCTTACTAGCTTAGTGACCATGGGCAAGTCACTTAACCCCATTGCCTAACCAAAAAAAAAAAATGAGGAAGCTTAAAGTCAGAATATTAATAAGAACCATTTATTGATAAAGAAGTGACTGTGTCTGTTGAATTACGCTACATCTCTGTAGCAAGGACAAATGGAGTCTCCTTATTTTTTTTCTTATTATTTTGCTTAATCAGAAAGGGAAAAACTACTCAAAGGGGACTTCAGCAAGTGAGTCTGACTGTTACATCCATGGAGATTTTTTAAAAAATTAAATTTCATCCATAGAATTTAAGTGAAAGTTAAAGGTAGAACTCTCACCTCCCCAGTAGCTTTCTTTTCAATCTCCTGGAGAGTCCCAAATCCCTCTTGGTCTTTAGATGTCTTCCTAGAATTAGGGAGGTTAATGTTTCGGATGGCATCCTTCATACAAAATTTGTTGTTGTTGTTCAGTCATTTCAGTTGTGTCTGACTCTTCATGACTCCATTTGGGGTTTTCTTGACAAAGATACCTGAGTGGTTTGCCATTTCCTTTTCTAGATATGTGGAGGTCTGTCATTTGACAGATGAGGAACTGAAGCAAACCAGGTTAAGTGACTTGCCCAGGGTCACACATCTAGGAAGTGTCTGGATTTGATTCGGGTCTTTCTGACTCCAGGCCCAGCACACAATCCACTATACCACCTACCTACCCTCATACAAAATACTCTCTTCCCAAGGAATGTATGTAGGTTGCTAGAGTTATTATTTAAGTTTATGGTCTCTATACATAGAAGAATATAAGAAAATAGTTTTTGTTTTATTTTTCATTTTGTTTTTAAATGTGAAGTGCATTCCTTTTTTTTTTTTTTTTTTTTTTGGTGAGGCAGTGGGAGTTAAGTGACTTGCCCAGAGTCAGACATCTACTGAGTTTTATGTGTCTGAGGCTGTGGTTGTCCTGACTCCAGGGCTGGTGCTCTATCCACTGCACCACTTAGCTGCCCCAAAGTCCATTCTTTTTTTTTTCATCTTTATCTTTTATTTTTTATTAATTTATTTTGATTTATCAATAATCACTTCCATAAACTTTTGAGTTTAAAATTTTTCTCCACCTCCCTCCTCTCCTCCGTTCCCAAAACGGCATGCAATCTGATACAGGCTTTACATATATATTCCTATTAAACATATTTTCATATTAGTCATTTTGTAAGGAAGAATTAGAACCAATAGGAGGAACCACAAGAAAGAAGAAAAAGAAAAAGAGAGACAGAGAGAGAGAGCCAATAGTATGTTTTAATCTGCATTCAGACTCCATATCTCTTTTTATGGATGTGGATAGCATTTTCCGTCATAAATCTTTCTTAGACCCTTGCATTGCTGAGAAGTCTATCAAAGTTAGTCATCTGTACAACATGGCTGTTACTGTGTACAACGTTCTCCTGGTTCTTCTTACTTCACTTAGCATCAGTCCATACAAGTCTTCCCAGGTTTTTCTGAAGTCTACTTGCTCATCATTTTTTATAGCACAATAGTGTCCCATTACATTCACATACCATGGCGAGTTCAACTATTCCCCAATTGATGGGCATTCCCTCAATTTCCAATTCTTGGCCACCATATAAAGAGCTGCTATAAATATTTTTGTACATATGGGTCCATTTCCCATTTTTATGATCTCTTTGGGATACAGCCCTAGAAGTGGTATTGTTGGGTCAAAGGTTACGCACATTTTTATAGCCCTTTGGGCATAGTTCCAAATTGTTTTTCAGAATGGTTGGATGAATTCACAGCTCCACCAACAATGCATTAGTGTTCCAATTTTCCCACATCTTCTCCAACATTTATCATTTTTCTGTTTTGTCACGTTAGCCAATCTGATAGGTGTAATGTGGTACCTCAGAGCTGTTGTAGTTTGCATTTCTCTAATCAATAGTGATTTAGAGCATTTTTTCATATGACTGTAGATGGCTTTAATTTCTTCATCTGAAAACTGCCATTCATATCCTTTGACCATTTATCAATTGGGGAATGACTTGTATTCTTATAAATTTGACTGGCCCTGAAGTCAGGAGCACCTGAGTTCAAATCCGGCCTCAGACCAAACACTTGTCACTTACTAGCTGTGTGACCCTGGGCAAGTCACTTAACCCCAATTGCTTTAAAAAATAAATAAATAAATGAATAGAAAATAAATTTGACTTAGTTTTCTATGTATTTTAGAAATGATGCCCTTATCAGATACACTAGTTGTAAAAATTCTTTCCCAGTTTTCTGCTTCCCTCCTAATCCTGGTTGCATTGGCTTTGTTTGTGCAAAAACTTTTCAATTTAAATTCAAATCAAATTATCCATTTTGCATTTCATAATGTTCTCCTGTTTGGTCATAAATTCTTCTGTTCTCCATAAATCTGACAGGTAAACCATTCGTTGCTCTCCCAGATTGCTTATAGTATCAGTCTTTATATCTAAATCATGAACCCATTTTGACTTTATTTTGGTATATGGTGTGAGGTTTTGGTCTATGCCTAGTTTCTGCCATACTCTTTTCCAGTTTTCCCAGCAGTTTTTGTCAAATAGTGAGTTCTTATCCCAGAAGCTGGGGTCTTTGGGTTCATCAAATAGTGGATTAGTATAGTTATTGTCTACTGTGTCTTGCATACCTAACCTATTCTATTGATCTGTTACTCTGTTTCTACCAGTGCCAAATAGTTTTGATGATTTGCTGCTTTATAATACAATTTAAGATCTGGGATGGCTAGGCCACCTTCCCCTGCATTTCTTTTCATCAGTTTCCTTGATATTCTAGACATTTGGTTATTCCAAATGAATCTTGTTATTATTTTTTCTAGCTCTATAAAATAATTTTTTGGTAGTTTGATTAGTAGGGCACTGAATAAGTAGATTAGCTTACATAGAATTGTCATTTTTATTATATTAGTTCGGCCTACCCATGAGCAACTGATGTTTTTCCAGTTATTTAGATCTGACTTTATTTGTGTGAAAAGTGTTTTGTAATTGTGTTCATATAGTTCCTGGGCTTGTTTTGGTATGTAGACTCCTAAATATTTTATAATGTCTATAGTAACCCCAAGTCCATTCTTGAGCTATTTCTCAGACTCTTAAGGGAGGCCCCCATGTGACAGGGAAAGAGACAACCCAACTGACAAGTAACATCTGAGGAAGTCTAAGACCTAGTGAAATGGTGCAACCTACTCAGCAGCAGATCTTGATAAAGTTAAAAAGCTCTCATCGTTTCTGGTTTCTCATAAGTCAGTCAATTAATAAGCAGTCAGTAAACGTTTTGTTAAGTGCCTCCTATGTGCCAGGCACTGTGCTAAGCACTGGAGATACAAAGGAAGGCAAAAAAAACCAGCGTCTATTCTCAAGGAGCTCACAGTCTAACTTGGGATACAGCATGTAAACATATAAATTATAGACAAACCAGTGTAGGTGATCTCTGTCCTTTGCTGGACTGATCTCCTGAATGATGGCATGGTATGTTCTAGGTATTGCAGTATTTGGCTACTCGATGACAGTATCCATTGGGGGCATCTTAGCTTCCCGCCGCCTGCATCTGGACCTGCTCCACAATGTCCTCCGGTCCCCCATGAGCTTCTTTGAACGAACACCCAGTGGGAACCTCGTGAATAGATTCTCCAAGGAGATGGATACAGTGGACTCAATGATTCCCCAGATCATCAAGATGTTCATGGGATCCCTGTTCAATGTCATTGGTGCCTGTATAATCATATTGCTGACCACGCCCATTGCTGCTATCATCATCCCCCCCCTTGGCCTCATCTATTTCTTCGTACAGGTAAGTAGCAAGAAGTTTGTGTCATGTTACACTTAGAACAATAGAATGGAACTGGAGTTGTAGGCTGAGCTGTGTTGCAAAACCAGACAAGGCTCCATTTCATCCTTAGTAATCAGGGATCATTGTCTTGACGTGCAGGCTCATGACTAGTGGTATCAAACTTAAAGATAAATGATTCCCTGTGGGCCTCATCTTGACCTGGAAAACCAGAGATTAACATTATCTGGGTTTTATGGTATTTCAATTTACTTTGTTGAACATTTCCCACTTGTAATTTAATCTGGTTTAGGCCCCACTCAAAAGTGTTGCTGGCTGCCAGTTTGGCACCTTTGTTTACGACGAGAAGAATTCTCCAGAGCCTTACTTTTTTTTTTTAAAGGCAGTTGGAGTTAAGTGACTTGCCCGGAGTCACACAGCTAGTAAGTGTCAAGTGTTTGGTCTGAGGCTGAATTTGAGCTCAGGTCCTCCTGACTTCCACTGTGCCACCTAGCTGCCCCCCCCCCCCCCAGGGCCTTACTTTGAGGATCAGATAAAAATATCCCAGAAAATGCTTTAGAAAATGTAAAGTCTTATCCAAAAGCAAGATATAACAAGATTTAAGTTTTCCATTTCCTTTACCATAGGATGTTATAGAGTTCCCCGCACTAAGAGGGAGGAAGGTTGTGTGCTGGGGAGTAAAGTAACAGGCAGTGGTTTGGACTGATGTGGGACCTAAAAAAATAGTGAGTAGAGGTGGGTTGCTAGTCACTATAGTTAGGAATTTGGGGGTGAAATAGACCAGATAATCCTTTTGTAAACACACACACACACACACACACACACACACACACACACACACACACA